GGTGCCCTGTTTCTACACTGTCCCTGACCGCAGGGTGCTCTGCTACGGGCCCACAATGTCTACACTGTCCCCAACCGCGGGGTGCTCTGCAGGGGGGGCCCTGTGTCTACACTGTCCCTGACCCCAGGGTGCTCTATGGGGCCCCCGTGTCTACACTGTCCCCGATTGCAGGGTGCTCTGCAGAACCCAGTGTCTACACTGCACCGACCGCGGGGTGCTCTTCAGGCCCCTGTGTCTACACTGTCCCCAACCATCGGGTGCTCTGCAGGACTCAAGTGTCTACACTGCACCAACCGTGGGGTGCTCTGCGGAGACCCCAATGTCTACACTGTCCCCAACCATGGGGTGCACTACGGGGGGGCCCAGTGTCTACACTGTCCCTGACCGTGGGGTGCTCTGCAGGGGCCCTGTCTACACTGTCCCCAGCCTCAGGGTGCTCTGCGGGGACCCCATGTCTACACTGTCGCCGACTAAGGGGTGCTCTGCAGGGCCCCGTGTCTATACTGTCCCCAACTGCAGGGTACTCTGCGGGGCCCCCGTGTCTACACTGTCCCCGACTGTGGGGTGCTCTGCGGGGCCCCTGTGTCTACACTGTCCCCAACTGCGGGGTGCTCTGTGGGGGCCCCCCAATGTCTACACTGTCCCCAGCCTCGGGGTGCTCTGCGGGGACCCCATGTCTACACTGTCCCCGACTGTGGGGTGCTCTGCAGGGCCCCGTGTCTACACTGTCCCTGATCATGGGTTGCTCTGGGGGAACTCCCATGTCTACACTGTCCCCAACACTGGGGTGCTCTGTGGGGGCCACGTGTGTACACTGGGGTGCTCTGTGGGGCCCCAGTGTCTACAGTGTCCCTGACTGTGGGGTGCTCTGCGGGAGGGCCCAGTGTCTGTACTGTCTCCGACCGCGGGGTGCTCTATGGGGCCCTAGTGTCTACAGTGTCTCCGACCGTGGGGTGCTCTGTGGGGGGTCCCTAATGTCTACACTGTCCCCAGCCTGTGGGGTGTTCTGCGGGGGCCCCCAGTGTCTACACTGGTCCCAACTGTGGGGTGCTCTGTGGGGGCCCCCAGTGTCTACACTCTCCCTGACTACTTTCCCACTGCAATGAAAGTGCTGCCGAGAACACCCTTGCACACACATTGTTTTCCCATCTGTGAAGTATCTTTTAATCAGATTTTTAAGAGAAGAATTGCTGATTGAAAGGGTGAATCACAAAATGAGAAAGATCAGCCAGTGTCCACAAACACTTCAACAGTGAAGGTCCCCAGCAACGCACACGTGCCCCATGCTCCCCCTCAACACGGAGCGTGAGACTTCTCGATCTGAGATTCAAACTTGATGCCGACACCATTTGCTTCCTCAGATTCCTGGGGAGGCCACGTGTCACCCGCACCCTCACCAGCTGCGTGGATTTCTCCAGGGACCTGCTACCTGGGCCCCTGCATGGGGTCTGTAGACGCCTGTTTTAGGTACAGATCCTTTTCACCCGTCAGATATGTTGAAAACATTCCCTTTATCTTTGTTTACTGTGTCTTTTCTTTAGAGACGTTTAAACGTAATGCTGTCCGTCAGTTACTCTTTGACTTTCCCTGTCTAGGGGGTATTTTAATTTTTAACCTTATTTAGGAAGCCTTTCTCTACGCTTGGGGTCACTGCAAAGATGAGCTGAGGTCATGTGTGCAAGGACGATGGGAAAGGGCAGTGTGGACTGAATCCCACACCAGCGCTCACAGGAAGGCCTTAGAAAATGAGGAGAGAGAGCCACAGGTGAGAGCACAGTGCCACGGGCCACGAGGTTCTACTCTCCGGTGGCACTTTACAGGCTGGGGACCGTGGATAGTCTCGTAGCAAAATGGAAATTATCAAAACTGATTCAAGAAGAGGCAGGAAACCCACACAGACAAATCACTATAGAAGAAAATGAAAAGACAGTCCAAAGTCTACCATTAACAAAGGCACCAAACACAGAAAATACTTTTGCTGAGGTCTCACTAACCTTCAGGGGAGCTGCAGACTTAGCCAGCAGGGATCTTCAGCTTTCTCTGACACTGCGAGGCGGGTAGACTACAAGCCTGGCAACAGGCGACAGTGAATTTAGCCAGATTTGGGGCCTGGTCATGCAGGAATTACAGCAGGCAGGAATTATCTGGCATATAGTGATGGCTTCTCTATTGGATGCATGGATGATAGATGAGTTGATGGATGGATACATAAGTGAATGGGTGGGTGGATAGATGGATGGATGGATGAGCAGATGGATGGATGAGTGGGTGGGTGATTGGATGGATGGATGGATGGACGGATGGGTAGATGGATGAGTGGGTAGATGGATGGATGGATGGGTAGATGGATGAGTGGGTGGATGGATACATGTATGGGTGGGTGGGTAGATGGATGAGTGGATGCGTGGATGCATGGATGGGCCAGTGGATGAGTGGGTGGGAGTTGGGTGACTCACTAAAATACTTGGCCATAAGACCAAGCTGGCTATAGGTAACCATAATGAGGAAGAAAGGTAAATTCACTGAATGAAGGATCAGAAAGGGAAGGAGGCATGGTTGTGATTGGAGAAAAGGTCTGGGGGGTTGGAAGCTAAGAGAGGGCATCCTGACAGTGGCATAGCTGGGCACGGAGCCAAGGTCAAGAGGGGCAAAGTTCAGATGTGGAGAATGTTACTGGTTTAGAAAATGAGACAATGGAAAGGAATTCACAGAAGAAGAGAAGCTATAATTGAAGTCGCTGTGGTTGCCAACTGTGAAATGACAATCATGAGGGAGAGGAGCAGAGGCAGATAGCACAGCTTCCAGAGAAGCAAGGTTTTTAGTGAACTTGACACAAGAGGGTCTACAAGTGTGTTTGATAAGCAAGCAAAGCCGGCCTTCCTCCTCAGCTTGTGACCCGGAAGGAGGCAAGGGAGTGGCTTTCAGGGAGCAGGTCCCGGGGCCTGGAGCCCTGGACGGGACGGGGCGCAAGTGGGCAACATTGCCGTCGCGGCAGCGCGTACCGACGGCATCTGGAAACACACCCAGTCAGCCCCATCTACTGCTCCTCCTTCGGGGGGCAGGTCCTTAGAAGAACAAAGCCTCTCATCTGAGACAGCCTCCCCTTCAGTGTCCCACATGTCAGGATGGACACTCCGTGGCAGTCTCCGAGAGGCGTTTGGGCTCTTTACCCATAAGGTCTGGTTTGCTCTGCCCCCAGCCCGGTGCCTCGGCAAGACAGCTGTCGGGCACACAGATTTCCTCAACGGGCTGCCCCCTCTCTCCCGGGGACATGGTGCTCACTACAGGTCGGCGCCTGGAGTTCGCCTGCGTTTCACTTACCACTCGCTGGATAATTCTATCAGTTGTATCCAGACCAAAAACACTAGCATATGAAGACCTACTATTCTCATCCACACAGCTTAGCTGTGAGAAAAGTCCTGAGGACAAAGTGCAAGGCTGGACCTCCCACATTCCTAAGCGCGGGTGCTTAGGAATTCGGAGGACCTGCCCAGGGAAGCCAAGACCGTAGTTAACCTTCTGCCATGCTCCGGCCTTCCTTTTTAATCTAGGAGAGAGTGGAGGAGGGAGGGCACAAGTGAGCCAGGGGCAGAGAGAGCGAGAGAATCCCAGGAGAGGCAGAGAGTGGGGGGCGGGGGGCGAGAGAGAGAAGCAGAGCTTATCCAAAGCAGGACTTGTGCTCACCCAATGGCGGGGCTCAAGATCATGACCTGAGCCAAAGTTGGTCGCTTAAGCACTGAGCCCCCAGGCGCCCCGTGGCCCTTACTTCTAAAGCCAGTTAGCCGGTGGGTCTGCAGCCCTCCGGCGTCCCCTCCACCGTTAGACAATGGACAGCAGAGTGGCACAGCCTGCCTCCCATCAAGCCCAGCTGGACCCTAAAGCCCCACACACTGACCGTATTATCTCAAAGCTCTTGCTGGCAGAGCATGGATGGGCAGAAGCCGCGCAAGGTGAGAGGGGCGCAGCATGAGGAGGGGGTGGGGGATGCAGCGCGAGGAGCTGCAGGGAAAGGAGGGGGCCTCGTGAGAAGGCAGCCTGAGAGCCACACGGTCAGAGGCTCGCTCCGGGCAAGGCTGCCCTTGGCTGACCAGCGCAGCTCTCTGAAGACCTCGGGCACTGGCCGGGCTGCGGCGCGGCTCCTCCCAGCTAGCCGTGGCGAAAACCACACCGCCAGGAAGATCGTCTTGCCCAACACAGGTGCCTTCGCTCCAGCAACGTGCTCTACCCACAGGGGCCTTGGTCTTGTGCCGGGAGCTGGACATTTGCTCTCGGCTGGCGACCCGCGCCGACTCTTCCAAGAGCCACGCACAGAAAGGCGCGCCTCAACCGAATCCAGAGTGTGCCTCCTGTCTTCCCTTTCCTGGAGCCACAGTGTGCTTAACCCGTCACTGGCTTGGAGCGAGTTATTTCCGTGCTGGCTGCTTAGGGGACCTTGCCCTGTAAGCTGCAGCCCGTGAAGCGCTGCTACTATAAATTAAGTCCTGCAGAGAACCCACGTCTGATGAATTACTGCCAGAGCCGGTGTCGGCCTGAGTCTAACCGGCTTCAGACAAAGGCCGAGGGCTGCGTGAGCTCCGTGGCTGCCTGGGCCCGACCCGCAGGCGGCAGCGGGACACGCCCCGTTCTACTCTGGGGTGGGCCCTGCCTGTCGTTCCCGGGACCCAGCGCAGACGTGGCGGCTGTGACTCTCTGGACACGACGGGCCCAGGAATACAGTGCCACAGACATGCCGCCTGCTTGGCAGTATTTTTCTCACGAGTGCTGCCAGAGGAGCCGGTTCACGGAAACCCCGTGGTGGCAGGAAGCTCTGCTCTGTGCCCATGACCCCTGACCCCGGCTTCACACCACAAGGGCAGCCTCTGTTCTCCTGCCTGAGAAGTCAGGCCCGGCCCTGCCCTGATCCGCTCTCGCCGCAGGGCAGCGAAGCTTCCCCCTTCCGAGGCCCAGGCCCCCCCCCCCCCCCCCCCCCCCCCCCCCCCCCCCCCCGTGCCCATGCTCACCTGCGGTGCGCCCCAGCTCCGCTCGGAGCCGGCTTCCGGTCTCCAGGAGCTGCTCCTTCTCCAGGCGGAGGCGGAAGATTTCTCGGGCCGCCTCCTTCAGTTTCCTCTGGAGTCGGGGCACAGACGACGCCCGCGGGGGCTGTGGCCCCTGCTCTTGGGTCCCCGCGGGTCCTTGGTCTTCAGGGACCTATGAACAAAGCCACAGGCAAACAGTCTATAAGCCCAGCCCTCCAGGTGGGAGAGAGGCAGGCTGGCCGCCCCAGAGCCCGTACCCCTGGGGGACACCCTTCCAGGACGAGAGACAGGAAGGGCCAGCGAGCTCTGGCAACAAGACGGGTACCCCACATCCTGGCGGCCTCCTCCTCCATGAGTGCGATGAACGAGGGCCTGCTCTGGCCCCTGGGACCCCACCGAGCCTGCGCCCTTTCAGCAGGGACAAGGAGGAGCCGGCTGGCACCCTCACTCGGCCCCCAAGGGGCTGCTGGGACCCACGAGGGCTGTGTGTGCACCGGGGCGGCGGCTGGGTGCGCAGGCCACAGGCACTGGGGTCACTGGCGTGGAGGGGCTGGCAGAGGCCTCCCTCCACACTCTCCCTTCCCATCTGGACCCTGCATGGGCCCTGCGCTGCAGCGTCCCTGGGTCACCACATGGCCCCCACACACATGTGCAGTCACGCCTGGAGGGGCGTTCGGAACGAGGTGGGGAGTAGAGAGTGAGAGAGGAAAAGAGGAACGTGTGTGCGGGCCGCTCTGAGCCAGATGGAGGCCCAGGAGGAGCCGGTGCCCAAGGCCCTGAGGGAGGCAGGTGGCCTACTTAGGCACGGCTGCTCCTGACGCCCATGAAAAGCCGCACTGTGCCCCCGTCCCGGCCACACGAGCTGGGGCCAGAGCGGGAACCGGCCCGGAGTCCCTGGAACAGACCAGCACACCCTGTCCTGGCCTCGTTTCCCGCTGTCCCTCTCCAGGGCTGGCAGGCGCCTGTGCCCTCTGGTGGCCGCTGCTCCTCGGGCAGCCTGGAAGGGCTGGCGTGTGCCAGACTAGTTCGGCAGGAAGGCAGGTAGGGGAGGGGGACGGCAGAGGAGAGTGGGAGGCAGCCCGGTGGCACTGAGGCTCCAGTGCCCAAATCCCACTCTCCCCCCAGTGGGGGAGCCAGGCCTGCTCTCAGCCGTGTGGCACACGGGCCTTGCCGGCCTTCTCCCAAGGGCCCAGGGCATGAGTGGGGCCCTCAGGCCTCGGGAGGGGCTGGGGCAGACCCGGCCTCCACAGGAATGCGATCTAGGAGTCACCTGAGCACCTCAGGTGAGGAAAGAGCAACTCTGAAAAGACACTTGCTCAGAGACCTCAGAGAAACCTCACTTCCGAGAGCAGCCCAGTGGCCTGCAAGGCGGCCCCTGGCATGAGCCGGGAGTTGAGCCCTCACAGGGGGCCTTGGCCAGGCTCGGGGGGGCGAGGGGGGGAGCCACACCCGCAGGCGGCCCAGCTCTAGCCACCGAGGCTGCGCACGGTGGGCTCTGCAGCCGGGGGCCCGTCCTGGGCTCCATTTCTGACGCAAGTGCTCTGACGGCTTTCTACACCCGCCCATACCCGCGACACCCGTGACCACACGCCCCGGGACTCATGAGCGACTGCGCACTGGGGCCCAGGCAGCCCCCGGGCGCTGCTCCCAGCATCCTGGCCAGGGAGGCACGTGTCTGTGCGGCAGGGCGAGGGCTTGCCCAGGGGAGGCGTCCCCGTGAGGACTCCGTTCCGAGGGCAATGGTGACCACGCTCCACAGAGAAGCCCTTCTGGGGGCTGACGTCAGAGCAAGCCCCCACCCGGGGGCTCATGCCAGGGCGGCCGGCTCCCCGGGCTCTGGCCGAGGGCAGACCCGCCGGCGGGTCCGCAAGGCTGCAGGCAGAGCCGGCGAGGACGGCCAGCGAACACTGCCCCCCAGCGGACCCAGGGCGTCCCTCGCGCTGTGCTCGGGGCAGGAGGGGCTTTAGGGCTGGGAGGAGGGCTGGCCCGGGGCCCGGCCAATCCCGCGCTGGGGGTCACGGGAGACAAGACGGACGCGGGGACGTGTCGGTTCTGCACGGTGCCTCGTCCTGGGCCGGGGGTGCGGGGCCTGCCTCCGCCCGGGAGAAGGTCAGACTCGCACGGCAGCTGCAAGGGCAGCACCCTGGCGGCTCCGACCCCTCTGCTTCATCGCCACCGGCACCTTCGCCTCACGGGCTTCTTCCTGACCCACCGACAGTACGCTGGGGACGTCAGGCTCACTGACACCGGACGCTCCCGTCCACGCTTCCTCAAAGCACACGTTCTCTTCACAACCAGTTACGAAAACCAGAAGTTCACGCCGGATGCAACATTCTGACCTGACCCTCGGGCCGCATGCAAACCTCACGGACCGTCCAGTCCCGTCCCCCGCTGTCCTGCACACTGGGCTCCTCCCGCCCAGGGCACCGCATGGCGTCTGCCTCCTGGGTCCCCGCGGGCTCCCGACGGGCTGGGGTCTGCGCGAGGCTGTGCCGCCGGGCGCGGTGGGCGCAGAGGCCCAGGGGGTCCGACTGTGCGAGGGGGGCACACACAGCGTCTGCAGGCGGCTCCCCTGGAAAGCTGCTCTGTCCCTCCGTGACAGGCGTCCCCGGAGGGGACGCTGCACCGCGGCCTCGTTGTCCTTTCCGCGTCAGGACGGCCCCTCCGCACCGGGCGCCTGAGGCCCTTGGGTGCCTGTGTCCTTCTGTCCGTCGCCCCGTTTCCGGGTCTCTGTGGAGGAGCCGCCACGTACCCTGCTTCCTCTCCGCAGATGGAGACGTTCAGAAACCAAGATCTTGGCTGGGGCGCCTGGGGGCTCAGTCGGTTGAGCGTCCGACTGCGGCTCAGGTCATGATCTCACGGTTCGTGGGTTCGAGCCCCGCGTCGGGCTCTGTGCTGACAGCTCGAAGCCTGGAGCTGCTTCGGATTCTGTGTCTCCCTCTCTCCCTGACCCTCCCCTGCTCATGCTGTCTCTCAGAAATAAATAAAACATTAAAAAAAAAAAAAAAAAAGGAAAAAAAACCCCAAGATCTTGGCACTGGCAGCACTGAGGGCTCCTGGCCACCACGATGCTGGCCCTCCTGGGGGCGGCCCTGGTCTGGAACAGGGACCGGCCCTGGGTTTCCTGTGCCTTGATCTCCCCCCAAGGTCACAGATGCTTCAGCTCCAGCCTGTCTGCCACAGAATTAAATACCCGGATTTGAAGTCCTGCTGATCCGCAGGATTTCTTCCTCCTAAGCAGGTGGGATCCGCGACGCAGGCAAGGGCTGTTAGGAGAGCCTCCAGCGCGGCCGACCTTGGGGCCGAGCACCGGCTACTGGGATGAACGGTGGGCACACCGTGAGGCGGACGTGCTGCCCGCTCGCCTGTGGCCCTGTGGCCGGGATGGCAGGAGGCCTGGCCGTGTCCCACTCCCCTCTGAGCTGTGTCTCACACATCTGTCTGCCTCGAGGCGCATCTGGGCCTCCAGCGTGAGAAGGGAGTTGACCCACCTTCCCTCCGGTCCTTCGGTGACAGACGTGGTCCCGAAGGAGCCGAGTCCCCCTCATGCCCGACTGTGCCGCCCCCGGGACAGAGCTTAGGACACACGAGGACTGTGGCTGAGCCGCCTTCAACTTCCATATCACGTCCGCCAGAGCTCTGGGCACCCTCGGACACCACGCTACAGTTGTGACCGCAGGTCACCATGGGTCACAAGTCATGTCACCGCAGGTCACCGCAAGTCACCACAGGTCACCCAGGTCACACAGGTCAACCCAGATCATCACAGGTCACCCAGGTCACCCAGGTAACCGACAGGTAACCGGCAGCAAAGAGCGTGCACTCCAGACGGCACTTCCACCACAGCCCTCGGAGAGAAGAAAAGCGGCCCGTCTGTCAGGTCTGAGGGGCGGCAGCTGCACGGCTCCCTCCAGCGCTCGGAGCCTCGCCTCAAACAGGCCACGGAGCCAGACGGGCACTGGGTGCGGAGGGCCTGACGGGGACCAGGACAGGCACCCCGGCGACACGCACACGGGGCCCACGGCCACGTGTGTAGGGCCATGGCCTCAAACGCTCGCTCGGAGAAGCTTCACGAGGCTCCTCTCCAAGGAAAAACCTCAATTTGCATTTGACTTCAGGGCTTCCCGGAGCCCTCCTGGCAGCGTCAAGGACTCCCTTTCAGGGGAAACAGAAGAGCCCCCCTCCCGCTGTGGGTTTCCAACGGGGACTTTGAAACGGAGATGCCCGAGGGCCTGGAGGGCTGAGCTGCGGCCGCACCCCTCCGGCACTGTGTCGCCCCACCGTGAGAGCAGCCGGCGGGAGACGGGCACAGTGCGCATGGCACCCCAAGCCCGGGAGGCCTCTTGCAGATAGCCGGGGGGGGGGGGGGGGGGGGGGGGGGGGGGGGGGGGGGGGGGGGGGGGGGGGGGGGGGGGGGGGGCTTCTTTCCGCCGCGGGGCCCAACAGCTGGTGGCAAGAGTGATCAGAGGGCACCTACCTGCCTCCCAAGGGTCACCTTGTCCAAGGCTTCCGACTGCCACCGCCTCCCGACATGGCCCTCGAGCTCGGCCACCTGCTTCTGCAGCTCAGACACCTCAAGGTGCACTTGCTCCACCTCGTGGGGCAGCTCGTGCCTCACGGTGTCCACATCCAGGGGTTTCTGCAGCACCTGGGAGGCCGTGTCAGGGGCAGTGTTAGGAGGGGTGCGGCTCAGCGGGGCAGGAGGGCAGGGAAGCGGGACAGGCAGGGGCGCACGGCAAAACTGTACGAAGGTCAGAAAGGAAACGCGTTTGTCGGTGTCCCCTCTCTGGCTTAATGCAGTCGCCCCGCACGCCTGTGCCCACCGTCGTCCCGGCAGCGTGGGCTCGGGTGCCTTGGCGGAGCCTGCACTGGACTCGGGGCTGGTTGGGGGGCGTCCAGGTTGGGAACTGTCTGGACAGTGGCAGAGGGCCTAAAACCATCTTCGCGAGCCCTGTGCAGGTGCAGACACCCGCAGAAAATGCAGACAATCGGGCGGGACGGGGAGGGGTGCGGTGGGAGGGCGGGGGCGGGACGGGGAGGGGAGGTATCTGACGGGGAGCCGACGGAGGCAGAAGCGCACGGAGGGTCAGGAAGGGAAGTCGCAGGCGCCCGTGAGCTGCCCGAAGCGCCCGAAGCGCGTGTCGGGCCAGAGCCGCGGGCCGGCCCCTCACCCTGGCAGCTTCCTGGGCGCCTGGCCTCCTGCTGATGCAAGGAAGGAAAAAGGGACCAACAGAAAGGAGGGCCCCGTCCACACTCTGACTTTCCCCTTTTATTCTCAGGAAGATAAAAGATACTGTGTTCTTATTCCAGGAACTCCTGTAATGAATTCCTGGTGAGCGTTTAAGCTTTGAATTTGTCACATACACACCCAAAAAGGTGACCATTTGGTAAACAGACACTGTTAATTAAAATAGAAACAAAAACCACTCTGAGGTGGACATTTTTCCTCACAATAACGATATCGTCTATGATCATCAAGAGAAAATTAAAAGCTTTTATTTAAATGTTTATTTCCTGTTTATAAAGCGTGTGCGTGGCCTGTGCATGAAACCACAACAGCGGGCAGAACGGAAGCAGCAAGTGCGGGGCGTCCCGAGACCCCTCCCCTCTCGTGTCACGGAGGCCCACGTGAAGAAGCTGTGTCCAGTGGGGTGCTCTGCTCCACGGGAGAGGCGGAGTGCACAAGGTGGTGCGGCTCCAAAGAACATGTGAAAATTCCCTCTTTGTGTTGCCTCTGCACAAAGGGCAACAGGATGGCCCGACCTCAAAAGTATAAGCAGTAAGACAGGGCGCCTGGGGGCTCAGGCGGTTAAGCCTCCAACTTCGGTTCAGGTCATGATCTCATAGTTCGTGGGTTCGAGCCCTGCGTCGGGCTCTGTGCTGACAGCTAGCTCAGAGCCTGGAGCCTGTTTCGGATTCTGTGTCTCCCTCTCTCTCTGCCCCTCCCCCACTTGTGCTCTGTCTCTCTCTTGGAAATAAACATTTAAAAATTTTAAAAAAAAGTATAAACAGTAAGAAAATACAAACAACATTGGAAATCATAAAAACTAAAAACTTTTGTGCTTCAAAGAACACCGTCAAGAAAGTGAAAAGACGAGCCTTATAACGGGAGAAAAATATTATAAATTATACATCTAATAAGGGACTAGTATCCAGTGTACATAAAGAATTTCTAGAACTCAATAAAAAGACAATCCAATTACAAATGTGCAAAAGGATCGAAAAGACATTTTTGCAAAGAATGCACACAAATGGCCAAGAAGCACATGAAAAGATGCTCCACATCACTAGTCATCAGGAAAAGTGCAAACTGAAACCACTGTGAGGTACCACTAGGCACCCACTGGATCGGCCAGAGTCAGAAAGATAGAAAACGGGTGATGTGGATCAGGATGCGGCCGTCAGAGTCCTCACACGCGGCCAGAGGGACATAAAATGGCACAGCCGCTCACAAAAACGGTTTGGTGGTTCTCAAAAAGTAACCACTGAGGGGCACCTGGGGGGCTCAGCTGCTCACGTCTCCTATTTCAGCTCAGGTCACGATCTCAAAGTTTGTGAGTTTGAGTCCCATGTCAGACTCTGTGCGGCCATCATGGAGCCCGGAGTCCACTTACAGTTCCATGTCTCTCCCCCTCTCTTGCCCCTCCCCTGCTGGATTGCTCGCTCTCTCTTGCGCTCTCTCTCAAAAGTAAATAAACATTAAAAATTAAAAAAAAATAGTGCCCGTTGACCCAGCAATCCCACTCGTACACGCAGACCCCAAAGAACTGAAAGTAGGGGCGTGAGCAGGTGCCTGGACCCCACGCTCACAGCGCGTCATCCACAGCCGCCAAAGGGCGGGAGCAGCCAGGCGTCCATGAGACGACGGTGGGACGCTACTCCGTCCCTAGGAGGCACGAAGCGCTGACTCACGCCGCTGCCTGCGCGTGAACTGCGAAGACACGACGCCGAGGGAGCCGCCAGCCCCACGAGGGCCGGTGCCGCAGCGCCCGCTCAGGGGAGCCGTCCGGCGCCCGAGGCAGGGCAACGGCCCCGGGGGAAGCGGTGTGGGCTCAGTGTCCCAGGGGGACAGTTTCAGCTCAGATGATGGAAAGGTCTTGGCAGTAGATGGTGGTGACGCAGATACACACTGCGAACATAGTTAACGTCATTGAACGTATACTTGAAAAGCGTATATTTTATGTATATTTCACCACAGAGTTTAAAAAAACTCTAAAAAAAGAGAAACTATGAATTTGTAGCAACAGAGCACGGCTGCGACCCCGTCCACACGCGTGACAGGGCAGACCTTGCGCCCCCGTCTCCCGCCACATCTGGGCACCCGCATGCACCCAGGTGCACCCCGAGGGAGCAGCGGCCCCGCATGCGGTGGGGAGCACGGGCCCCACCATGGGCGCTGCGCCTCTGGACCTTTCTCTCAGGGACCGGGCCGTCCTGCGCACCTGCTAGGGACCACACGTTACCTCACAATAACCCCTTCCTTGGAGGGAAACTGAGGCACAGAGAGGCCAAGAGGTCCAGCCAGAAGACCTGCCTAGCCCAAGTGTCGGGGGGCGGGTGCCGTACCTTCTGCCTGAGCCGGGCCACCAGGAAGCTCAGGAGATGCGTCCTGTGTCTGAGCCTCCAGAGCGCCAGGCCCACGGGAGCGCCATCGGCCGGTGCAGCTCCGCCTGCCGAGAGAGGGGTTCTGTCGGGTTCAGGCCTCCTTCCCCTGGGCAAGGTTCCAGTCGACTCCCCTCTTTGGGGGGCAGACGTCTGCGCCGTCCAGGGCAGAGGACACCCACTGTCACTGTGTGTCCACCTGGAAGTGAAGATGCTCTAGAACTGAGCAGAAAGATCGGGGTCCCGACAGACTGAGAGGCACTGGCGACGGACGACATATAATCCTGTCAAGAAAGCAGGGGCCTCTGTAGGGGAACCGCGGAAGCCTCCACCCATGTCCACCGAGGCCAGTCTGCACGCCTAGTCACCGGGGAATGAGGAAAAACGCTCCTACGACCCAGAGGTCAAAGAAAAAATCAGTAGAGGTTAGAAATTATTTTGGGGGCGTCTGGGTGGCTCAGTCGGTTGAGTGTCCAACGTCGGCTCAGGTCATGATCTCGTGGTTCGTGGGTTCGAGCCCCGCGTCGGGCTCTGTGCTGACAGCTCAGAGCCTGGAGCTGCTTCGGATTCTGTGTCTTCCTCTCCCTCTGCCCCTCCCCTGCCCGTGCTCTGTCTCTCTCTCCCTCAAGAGTAAATAAACATTAAAAAAAATTTATTTTGACCTGAACTACCTTAATACAGCGCTTATCGAAACTTAAGGAATGGATTTAAAGCTATCCCTTTAAAACTATTTATGGTCATCGTAGCTTATTTTACAACAGAAGGCTGCAAAGTCGATGAGCTGAATATCTGTTTCAAAAACGAGAAAAACCAACAAGTAGAAGAAAGGGAAGAATAAAACCAAGATCACATGCTGAGAAAACAGAAACTCAACGTGTAACGGAGCTGGCTCCTTGGAAAGGCTTTTTACAAAGATAAATCCCTGGTAAGACTAATAAGCAAGGAAAAAAAGTCAACAGAAAGAATGCCATCTAGGAAAATGGGGTTATTACTTTAGGTCCTACAGGATTTTAAAACTCTTAGGACAATACTATAGGCAATTTTATGCCAAATTTTCAAAAATTTAGATGAACTGGGTAATCTAGTAAAATATCTAAAAGTGACACGCCAGAAAGAAAACCTGGATCATCCTTTAACTGTGGGAAAAACCTGAATTCATACTTTAAAACCTTCCCACAAGGGAAGTCCTAAACCAGGAGTTCAGAGTTGAATTCTATTAGTGGTTCAGGAAAAATTAACCTTAGTCTGACACAAACTTTTTCAGAAAAGACAAATAGGGAACATGTTCCAACATATTTGAGGCCAGAATAACCATGACCCCAGAATTTGACACTGAGCCTGAGACAGCCCCAGCCAGTCTCACTCATGAACACAAACATCTAATTCTTTTTTTTTTTTTACTTTTTTTTTTTATTATTAAAGGTTTTATTTGTTTCTAGGAGAGAGAGAGAGACAGCCAGCGTGAGCAGGGGAGGGTCAGAGAGAGAGGGAGTCACAGACTGAAACAGGCTCCAGGCTCTGAGCTGGCAGTCAGCACAGAGCCCGACGCGGGGCTCGAACCCACAAACAGCGAGATCATGACCTAAGGGAAAGTCGGACGCTTAACCGACTAAGCCACCCAGGCGCCCCCACAAACATCTAATTCTCAGTGAAACATCAGAATGCCGACAATCACACGTTGGATTTATTACAGAACCGCAAGTTCGGTTTAACATTCAAAACCCAGCGGGAGCCTGCTGTTTGCACAAGGCCGTGAGCCCACGCCCCGCCCTGTCGGCAGTGAAGCTGAAGCCCAAGGTGACTATGAGGTGGGCCCAGCGGCCAGGGCGGCTCCTCATCTTCTGCATCTCCGGGCCTTGGTCCTAGAGCAGTCACATCACAGGCCAGAGGCACCGGGGGGGGGGGGGGGGGGGGGGGGGCTCGGCCCAGCAAAGGCCCCGGCCAAGCCTGCTCCTGCAGCAAAAGGACCAGCGAAGGGAGGCTCCGGGGGCACGGCCCGTACACAGCAGGGCCCGCCCTGCGCCAGCCTGCACCATGTGGCCTGCACCCCTCCTGGGAAGAGCACGTGGGGAGTCTGCGGGGGGGGGGGGGAGCTAGAGGAAGGAATTCCCGAAATCTGCCCACAAAGTCCCTGAGGGGCCCGTGCGGAAAGCCGGCGGCATCCACACGGCCAGGGCTCAGAGCTGGGAAAGCGCCCAGGACCTGACGGGGCTCGGGCAGCACAGCAGAGCCGCAGGGCAAAGGCCCGGGAGAGGAAGGGGTCATTCAGGCCTAAGAGAGCGGGCGAGGTGCAGGCGTGTGCTGCCCCCTAGCGAGGCGGGGGCGCAATCACGCAGAAGCGGAGTAAGGACGGGACGGCCGAGCACAGCGCCAGACAGGCGCACGTCAGAACCCGCAGTCAGCCATCGCCGTGACCAGGAAGCTCTCGATTCAATGAAAAAAGACGGCGCTGAGGGGACACGGACGTTGGGATCGCGTGGGTCATGGACCACGGAAGCTGGATGAGGAGCCGGGCGAGCCGGCGCCCTGTTCACACAGAGGAAAAAGAAAAGTTTTAGCACAGGAATAAAAGACACACAGAAACCAAAATGGAAATCTCAGAACTGAAAGCGGAATGAAAGTCCCCCCAACGGGGCCAAGAGCCGCGGCCAGAGGACGCGTGAGCGTGAAGAGACGCGGGCTCAGCCGCCCGAACGGCAGAGGACACACTGCAAGGGGAGCCACAGGGACCTGCGGGAGGCGAACAAAAAAGCCAGCATTTTGTCACCGGAGTCCCAAAGGGGAAAAAGCACAGAGCTGAGAAAGCGCTTGAAGAAATAATGACTGAAAACTCCCCAAATTTGGCAAAAGACAACCACCTTGAGATGCAATGCCAAACAGGATAAGCCAAAGAAACGTGTGCCCAGACACGTCGTCGGGCTTCCGGCACGAACAGCAGGCGCGAGAGCAGGTGGACAGGACAGGTGTTGGCTCGGGGGCACAGAGGTGCGGGCAGCAGCCGATCTCTCAGAAGACAGGCGCACAATTACTCTGTGCTGAGAGCCACCTGACCCGCGAAGAGATCCTGCGGGGACGCAGGTGAGAGCGGAAAACCAGAGCGCTTGTCACCAGCACACCTGCCGGGAGAGCTGACGACAGGGAGCCTGGGGCAGCGGGACTCAAGGACACACAGGGCAAACGTTCGGGTGAACATCACAGAACCTACCTTTTTTTTCCTTATGTTTATTTTGAAAGAGAATGTGTGCAAGCGGGGGAGGGTCAGAGAGAGAGGGAGACACAGACTCTGAAACAGGCTCCAGGCTCCGAGCTGTCAGCACAGAGCCCGACGCGGGGCTCGAACCCACGAACCGCGAGATCGTGACCTGAGCCGAAGTCGGACGCTTAGCCGACTGAGCCCCCCAGGCGCCCTCCTCTTGAGTTTTTTAAAACTTACGTTGGACAATTCAAAGCAAGAATGGAAACCCTGGCTGAAGCGGCTCTCCACACAGGAGAGGTGGCGTTTGTGACAGCAACGTGTGGACAGGCCTGACGGCAGGAGGCGGTGCTGGCGGGAGCTGGCTGCGAGAAGTCACGGGGACCAGACAGACGCGCTCAGAAACGACACGTGCATCGATGGGGAACATGAGCAATGCTCAGATGCCCACGGGAGCGGGACCGAGGACGCCTTGGGACAGAGAGCGGACAGGAAGCGCTGCTCAGACCCAACACGACGAGAACTATTAAGTGTGGATGGTATAAATTCTATCAGTTAAAAATATTAACAAATGAAAAAGAAAACATTAACAAAATGGGGGTGTCTGGGTGGTTCAGTCAGTTGAGGCTCTGAAACTCTAGGTTTCAGCTCAAGTCATGACCTCACACTCGTGAGATCGAGCCCCACATCAGGCTCTGTGCTGACGGCACGAAGTCTGCTTGGGATTCACTCTCTCTCTCTGCCTCTTGCTGCATGGGCACGTGTGCACTCTCAAAATAAACATTAAAACAATGAAAACCGTAACGGAATGAAAAAACTTTTTTTTAAATTAGCAAAATGGACTTTAAAATTTGACCTACCTATATGCTGCCCATAAGAAATTCACTTCAAATGTGATACTGTAGCAAGATTCTCACACAGAGAGTCGTGACACTGAGGCTTTTCTTTCCAGGAAGCAACTTTATTCCTTTCTTCCTGCTGGCACCACTCAGTTGGGTTCATACCCAAAGAACTGAGCCCTGAACACCACATGGTGTAACTTTTTATGTATTTTCTACTTCTTAGTCTCCCATTTATGGTAACACACAAACATGCAGTCTGATTAAGCGGTCTCATGTTACAAGGCTGTGAGGGATGTTGTCATGTACATGCATAGCCAGGTTCCCTTCAGGTGTTGTGTTGTGTTTTGTTTTCCTTAGGAAGAGAACCCTACTACAATATGAGAAGTTAAAAGTTAAAGGATTATAAAGATACACCAAGCAGACTCTAATCAAAAGGAAGCTGGAGTGGTGTGATTAACACCAGACAGAGCAGGCTTCAGAGCACAGAAACCCCACACGGTAAAGAGGGTCGTTACGTGACGCTATCAGGGCCAGTCCCCTCTTACGAACACAGTAACTCTAAATGTGTATGCAACCAAAAACAAAGCTCCAAAACACAGTAAGCAAAAACTGACAGAATCATGATAAAAAACAACCATCTGCATTACAGCAAGAATAGAAAGGAACTTCCTTAATCTGGCCCTGTGCCCCCCAAAACCTTTAGCAGCTTAAAAGTCAAACGTTGATAATTTTTCTCTGGGCTCAGGAAGAAAGCCAGCCATTACCAACACCCTACTGGAGATTCAGGCCTGGAAAAGTAATACAAGGAAAAGAAACAAAAGACCCGAGCACTGGGAAAGCATGCAGGCTCCTGGCTGGAGACAAGATGATCTATAGGTGGAACGTCCTGCTGCTTCACCTTTCTCCCTAAACAGTCACTCTAGACACCATCCCGTGGGTGCATCCACCCCCCTGGGTGGGCTCTCCACCGGGCCAGCACCCTAGCCGGGCAAGGGGCTGTCTGCGTGGTGCCAGAGCAGGGGTGGGGCAGGGAGGTGGCCACCCAGAGAGGTAAAAGGGCATAAACACTTCAAGAACGGGTGGCGTGGGGACTGCTGGGTGCCGGGAACGGGGGACTTGCAGTTTGCGATCCTTCCTTGATGTGTGCGTTTGCATTTTATGGACTTTCTGTAGGGTTTATATTTCAATTAAAACAACGTACAGATGCAGAAGTTAGTGTTCCTGGGACAGAGCATTCAAGAGGAGGAGACTAGGGCTCTTACCAGGGGCTTTGGCTGAGACACCGGCTTGGACGTCCGAGTGCGATGAGGACGTCTTCGAAGGATCTAGCGCATCTTCTACCTGTCCTGCCAGGGCTTTAAACTGATGCTTCAGATTTCTTATTTCTGTTTCAAGGGCTGTGACGTACTCTGCCACACACACACACACAGTAAATACACCAGCACACACATTACGCTCCCCTCGGCCGTCGCGAAGCAGGGCTTGCTCAGGCTCGTGGTGCTCTCCCCCGCCTCCCCCCACACCTGCCCCGGCCGCGGGACCCCCTCCCCTCTGGTGCTGGGCGCTCTCTGAAGACGGCCACGCACTCACGCTCCCTCAGACCCACGAGCCCGCGTGCACAGAAGTACGAGTCTCAGGCATGGAGTCGTGATACCTGGTGCCCTCCACTCACAGCCACCCCGGGGCCTCTCTTAGGTGCAGAGGAGGGGTGGGGGAGCCCAGCTCCACTACGGCACAGGACCCCGAGGAGAGGCCTGGTACCCGCCAGCCTGCACAGCCCGCCTCTGGGGGAACACGGCGCCCGCTCCCCTCCCCATGCAAGCGGGCTCCAGGCTCTAAGTGCCAAATACACATCCTTCACTTTTTTCTGCCACTTCACCAATAAAAAGTTGCTGTTCTACATATAAACGTGGACTTAGGATCCCTTCCTTTGAGGAGAAGCCTCTCTCATACTCTGAGGTAATTTCTCAAAGCAGATGTTCATTGACAAGACTCCAAGTGAAGCCCGTTTTGGACCCACGGAGAGACCCCCCGGCCCCTCCCCCCCTCCCCCCCGCTCACCAGGAGCTGCAGCCTCAGCCGCTGCCTTCGGAAGAGGTTGTGCGGTGTCGGACGCCTGACTCTCTGACTGCGCAGGAGGAAGAACTTGGTCACTCAGGGTCTCCATCTCCTTCCTCATCTCCGCCACAGCCCTTCGTAAGCTTGTGTTTTGCTCCTGGAGCCTCTGGATCTCACTAGACGGAAAACTTTCACTTATCTCTTCTTCACGATGCCTTAGGAGCACCTGTCAAATACAGAAAAGAAAGATGGTTACAGCTGCAGAAGAAACCCATGGTTTGCTGCCCGTCCAAGGCTCTGCCCACCCATCGGCCCTCCAGGCCACGGGGGCCTTTCATCTAAACTGACGGGGCAATGAAAGTCCCCTCCTTCTGGGTGTCTTGAAGACGAGACTGCTTACTGAGAAATCTGGGGACACCCCCTTTCAGTCACAAAGCCACTGGTCACCCACGAGGGCGGCTACTGTGAAAAAGACGGACAAGAGCAAGTGCTGGCGAGGAGACGGCCAAGGCGGCACCCTTGCCCACTGTGAAGGTCAGCGGGTGCAGCTGCTTGCGGGTGAGATGGGGTGCCGCCGCGGAGACAGTCCAGCAGCTCGAGAGGTTAAATGCAGAGGTGACCACACGACCCGGCAAGTCCACCCCGGGGTATACGCCCAGAGAACCGAAAACCTACGTTCCCGTGAAAAGTTGTACACACATGTTCACGGCAGCATTTTTCACAGTAGCCAAGATGTGCAAACACAAGTGTCCACCGAGAGACGAATGAATTTAAAAAAATGTGACACAAAAGAGCACATGCAGCCATAGACAGGAGTGGAGTCTAGAACACGCTGCAGCTCAGGCCAGCTGTGAAGATGTTCTCAGAGGTCTTCACGAAGACGCCCCAGACTTCTCCGCGGCCACAGTCATACCTACGCCCCAGGGGGCCAAGGCGACCAGAAGCGTGTCAGGAAGAGGGACAGAAGACAATCTGACAAGAGCCCGACGGCACCTGCAGACACGCGGAAGATTCCATCTGAAATGAGACAATCACTGCAGGGCACCTGAGGGGCTTGGTCGCTTAAGGGTCTGACTCCTGATTTCGGCTCAGGTCATGATCTCACAGTTTGTGGGTTCAAGCCCCGTGTCGGGCTCTGTGCTGACGACGTGGAGGCTGTTTGGGGTTCTCTCCCTCTCTCTCTGCCCCTTCCCTGCTCGTGCTCTCTCTCTCAAAATAAATGAACTTAAAAAAAAAAAAAAAAAGAAAGAAATTCACTAGAGAGGTGGTCCAAGCCCGGACCGGATTTGACAGGAGAAAGGGTCAGTGAGTGGGGACACACGGCAACAGAAAGCGTTCAAGCCAAGCACACAGCGGAAGACCACAGAGAAGCAGCGAGGCCCAGAGACCCTGGGAACAGCGTGGAGCCGGCTCATTGCAAGGAGCCAAGAACCCAAATACATGAGGCAGAAATACTTTATATATAACATTCTGGCCAAAATATTTTCAATGTTTATTTTTGAGAGACACAGAGAAACAGAGTACAAGTAGGGGAGGGGCAGAGAATCCCAAGCAGCTCCAGGCTCCGAGCCGTCAGCACAGAGCCCGACGCGGGGCTCGAACCCACGAACCGTGAGATCATGACCTGAGCCGCAGTCAGACGCTTGACTAACTGAGCCCCCGGGCACCCCTGGACAAAATATTTTCAAATTTTTTTTTTTAATATTTTTATTTATTTCTAGGAGTGAGAGAGAGAGAGAGAGAGAGGGAGAGAGAGAGACAGCGTGAGCAGGGGAGGGTCAGAGAGAGAGGGAGACACTGACTCTGAAACAGGCTCCAGGCTCTGAGCTGTCAGCGCAGAGCCCGACGTGGGGCTTGAACCCACGAACTGCGAGATCATGACCTAAGCGAAAGTCGGGACGCTTAACCGACTAAGCCACCCGGGCGCCCCCAAAATATTTTCAAATTTGATGAAAACAAGTCCACAGATCAAGAAGTCCACTGAATCCAAAGCAAATTAACAGAAAATCACACCAAAAAACCCATAATAATTGGATTGCTAACAAATTACTGATAAAGAGAGAAAAGCAATCAGGGGCGCACAGCGCATCAGGCGGCGTGACCAGCACAGACGGTGCCAGCCCCTCGCGAGAGCCACCGGCCGAGACGCAGGAAGCAGAAGGCCTCCCGCCTCGGGACCTGCAGTCAGTGACTGTCCTTCCAAGGACAGCGAGACAGGCTGCTACCCTGGAGCCGCAGGACCAGCTGCAGCAAGACCGGAAAACCAGCGAGTTCCAGGAAGCGAGCATCTGCCGCCAGCACAGACCTGGGGTGTCTGACACGGGGGGGGTGGGGGGGGGCAGATAACGTGTTCTGCGCGAGCCCAGGCAGGGCCCCGGCTTCAGGGATGTGCGCCTGCAGACAGCGCCCGTCCCCTTCCCTGCAGCGCCCCCCCAGGCGCCGCACCCCCCACCTGGGTCCCCGCTCTCCTCCCGGCTGCTGGCCAGCCCCACTCAGCTGGCCCGAGGAGGGCTCCCGCCAGCCCTGCACCCAAGCAGAGGGTGAGCTGCTGCCGAGCTCAGAGAGAGGCGCCCGTGCGGCCTTAGGGTGACACGTGCCAGCTCAGCGACGCTGGAAGAGGAGGTCGTACGGTAAAACACACAACCACTTCCGCGGTGTTCTGAAGAGTTACCAGGACGGGAGACGTGATGACCGTACAAGTGAAAGAAAGAATCCCCAACACACAGCACAGCATGGACTGTATGAAACGAGCACACGCGCAGGGACACGTGCGAGATCCAGAGAGAGAGGCACCGAGGGAAACGCCAGAACGCCCCAACGGTGCGGCCACGTGTGACTTCCGTGTCCTCAGCAGCGGACTCCGCCAGCGCCAGCAGCGAGCCGGGTGCTGGGTCACAGCCCCCCTTCAATGGTTCACGAGGGGCTCGCATCAGATCGGGATGGACGCTCAATATGAGGGGTGACCCGGCCGCCACTGTCCGTGCTGCCACCGCGTGCTCAACCTGGCACCAAGCCCTGCTCCAGGCGCTCACTCGTCTCTCACAAAAGCGCCAGCTGTCCGTTGGCGAGATCTCTGCGGGGAGAACACGGCCACGGCTGTATGTCAGGGGCTCGGGTACCACGTGTGAAGATGCATATTTCTGGGATAAAGTCTAACCATTAAGTTCTGTCCTTCCTGGAGAGACCCAGGCTTCAGTCACAAAAGGGCCCTTTGCTGCGCCCTGAGATCCCATCCCCCCCAGATGTCTGATGACACGCTGAACTCTCCAAAGTCAGCACCAAATCTGACAGTTAGGACGGGAAACGTTTATTACAACTTTAAATGAGAAAGTGATCTGGCTCTGTGGCCACCCGCCGACCCTTCCCCACGGGCCTTCCCACCCTGTGACACCGAGGCCTGAAGAAGCCTCTGCCTCAAGCGCCGTGTTCGCCCCAAGACAGAGGCTCCTGCCCAGATGTCCACACAGACACCAGATCCGTCTCCTACGTTCTGACAGTTCTCACAAACGACCAGGACGGAATCATCAAATGTCCTCTCTGACTCTGTGCTGGACCCTAAAACCCCCGAGAGAAGCAGAGGTCCTGGCTTCTGCACACAGGTTAGGATAAGCTAGGATTAAGTGATCTCTACACCCAGTGTGGAGCTCGAACTCTTGACCCTGAGATCAGGGGTTGCAGACACCACCAAACGAGCCAGCCGGGTGCCCCAAATTACAAATATCTTAACGCTGGTTAGGAGCTGGGTCTACGGACATGTGGCCACTGCGCCGTCTTGGAGTAAACCCTGCCCACCTGCGTCCCTGTGACAAGCTAGAAATCTGAGCAGCTGCTGCTTTTGGGGTGGGGAGGGGGACCATCGGGAAGGGACTTTCCGGGGTGATGGACACGCTCTCCATCTTGCTAGAGGGCGGGGCCCATGGGCCCATTCACGTCGAACTCACTGACCTGTGCCCTTAACATTAATGCATTTCCTGCACATGAAACAAGAAACAAGAACTCTTCTCGGGCTTGGAAAGGTCTCCCCCCACCGGCAGCCCCTCCTGCTCTCGCCGCCCATCCCCCGACCACGGCCCTTGGGCACCCGGGCTCGGAGCCCAGCTCCACTCCTTCCACACTGTGAGGCAGCGTCCCTGCGTCTCGGGGCTGCGGCACCAGCCTCAGCGTCAGAGGACCCAGGGCCTCAGACGAGGTTCTCAGGCAGACCCGGCACGGGCGGGCACTCAAGCAGCACCACGCTGGCGGCACACAGCAACCCGCCGTGACAGCTCTGGGGGTAAAACACGAGGGCAACTTCACACTGTCTGCGTGGTGTGATGTCTGAGTGTGGGGTCTAAGATTTCAAGTGCTAAGAATACAAAGAAGAGTCTAAGTCCAGAGTCACCTCAGCTCCTTCAGGTATCAGACTGGCCCTCGTTGTGCGGACACAGTGGAGACTTTGGAGGCCGGGGGGGGGGGGCTCCAGGACTGGGCTGGGGGAAGGGCGTTCCCAGGCAAGGCTCAGGGTGAAGGACGGCTGTGCTGACCTGCACCTCCTTCTCCGGAAGGAACCCGCGTGTCCTCAACGCCTGCACGGCCTGGTCTCTCTCGAGGGTCAAGGCCTTCAGCACCACCTCCTGGTCACACAGCGTCCGCTCTGTCTCCTGTAGCTTGGCAGCAACCTGGAGGGGGTGATGTGGGACTCGGTTTATGTTGGAAGAGTCTCAAGGCAGTGGTGCCAGCCTTCAGGGCCCCGCCCAGAAGCAGAGAGCAGGCACGTGAGTGAGCAGCCCTGTGGCCCAGGACCAGGCGGCAGCCGGGGCTGGCTCATCGGCAGCATCAGGCTCGGGGTGTGGCCCTTTCTGCCCGGTCCCCTGAGCACAGGGTGCAGGGAGCTGCCTAGCACTCATGGGAAACAGCTAACGCAACAAAAAATGGAACACTCTGGGGCGCCTGGGTGGTCAGTCAGTTGAGTGACTGACTCTTGATTTCAGCTCAAGTCATGATCTCACGGTTCTCGGGTTCAAACCCGCTCGGGACTCTCTCTCCCTCCCTCCCTCTGCGCCTTCCCTGCCCACGCGCACTCGCCGTCTCTAAAACGATCGGGGGAAATGGCTGGGGGGCGGGACACGGACAACTTCCACAGCTGTAATTTCGCTATAAGTCAAACTGCTTGCTGGGGTTCGGGAGCCCAGAGCCTCCCGGGTGCCGCGGCGCAAGAGGGAGCGTGAGGGCCACGCAGGGCATGGACCTGGTCCCGTGCGGCGGTCAGAGCCTGCAGCAGGTCCTCGGACGCGCGGTGGTGGTCCCTCTCGACGCAGTCACAGCGGTGGCGCCAGTCGAGCTCCAGCTGCACCTTGTCGCGCTGCAGGCACTGCTCCCGCTCCACCGCCACCAGCAGCTGCTGCTTGTACCTGTGGGGACCGGGTCCTCCTGAGGGCGGTCCCCTTGCGTGTGAAAAGCAAGGGTGTGTCGCAGGTGGCGGGTGCAGGGGGTGCTCCCGCCGGGCCAGCCCGCGTTGGCGCGCCCTTGCTGACACGCGACAGGCCCACAAAACAGCAGCCCGGACGAGTCCCTGCCGTGTGGCCGTGGAGAAGTGGCGCAGGCGGGCAGGCTCAGGGTCTGAGCGGTGCAGACGGCAGGGACGCCGGGGAACCGAGGAAACCAGCACCGCGGAAGATCAAACCCCGGAAAGAGAAGAACCCGTTTGTAAGGAGGGAAGGGAAGAAACTAACAGACTTGAGAAATAGTAAGAAAACTGGTTGCGCCAGAGACGGTGCGAGAGTCTGGCAGCTGCGGAGAGTGAGCCCGAAGAGCTCGGGGCGCGTGCAGGACAGAGAACACAGGCCACACGGTCAGGGACAGTCCCCGGGAGCCGGCAGCCCACGTCCACGGGACAGCGGGTCTGCAGAGGCCCTGGCGGAGGAGACACAGGAGGAAACCCTGTGCAACCGGGGCCGCGCGTCCTTCTCGCCCGCCACACGCGGTGGGGTCTGCACACGTCTCCCGAGCGTGGCCGGGCCGTGAGCGCGAGGGGACGGGCGCTCCTGTCTGGTGAGGCCCTAGAGGACCCCGTCCTGCCGGCTGGAGGGGGGCTCCCACCGGCCCTGCAGAGGTGGCCGCGTGCCGCGAGGCCCAGACGGCCAGGACCTGAGGGCGCCGTGTGCAGACTGCGCGGGCATCGGCCGCAGCCGGAACGGAGGGCAGCGCGTGCAAGAGGAAGGGCACGAGCGAAGGCACTTGGCACAAAGGGCCCTGCGTCCGGACCCAGCAGGGCCCGCGAGAGGCCCTAGGAGAACAACCCAGAAACAAGAGGGGCGGGAGCGGAGCGCACGGTGAATACGCTCCGGGACAAGAAGCAACCACACGCGTGAGGAGGAGAAAGGTGAAAACAAATGTCTAAAAGGAGAACCTCTCAGCCTTAGTAGGCAGATGAGACGCCTCAGCGAGAAGGGCCCCGACTGGGGGGGGGGGTGCTGGGGCTCCCGGGAGAAGGGGGGGCAGAGACGGGCCTGTGGAGACAGCGGCAGGACACGCACGCGCACAACCTCACCCGTTTACACCAACAGTCCAATCACCACAAGCCAGCGATGGAGGGAAAAACGGGAAACGGGGAAAAAGGCACAATACGTGTGGAGGAACGTGCCTGAGGAACCCTCCTGAGAAACGCTCGGTGAGCCCCAGGAGGGAACAAGCCACGGGAAAACACACCACCGGCTTGGAGTTTTCCCTCGAGTGAATACACGCTTCAGGAAGATAAAGGCAAAGAACTGCGGACAAACGGCTGAGTGCAGGGCTGCGCAAAGGACCTTCGGGGGGCTAAAAAAAGATTACACCTTGTGGAAACTTTGAACTTGATTTTTTTAAATTTTGCTGTTTTTTTTTTAATTTTTAATTTTTTTGAGGGAGAGCACGCGAGCAGGGGAGGAGCAAAGAGAGACGGGAGAGAGGGAGACTCCCAAGCAGGACTGGTGCTGTCAGCACAGGGCCCAACGTGGGGCTCAAACTCACACACCACGAGACCACGGCCTGAGCTGAAGCCAAGAGTCGGACGCTTAACCCACTGAGCCACCCAGCTGCCCCTAAGAACGAAGAGCATCAGAAATAAATATTGGTGGGGCGCCTGGGTGGCTCAGTCAGAAATGTGTGCGGCTCCTGGCATCGGGGTCAGGAGTTTGAGCCCCACGCAGGGTGCAGGGATTACTCAAATATATAAAATAAAATAGAAGAAGCCACAACAACCCCAAATGCAAATGCATTAATAAAAGACTTGGTGACGGGAGCACCTCGGGAGCTGGGTCGGTTGAGGGTCCAGCTCTTGATCTCAGCCAGGTCACGATCTCACAGTTCGTGGGTTCAAGACCCGCATCGGGCTCTGCGCTGACAGCATGGAGCCTGCTTGGGATTCTCTGTCTCCCTCTCTCTCTGCCGCTCCCCCTTTCGTGCTGTCTCTCTCTCAAAATAAATAAATAGACTTAAAAGAGGAAAGACTGATACAACTGATACACCTCCAACCTGACTGATCAAGAACCAGAGAGGACGTTACCACAGACTCTGCACAGGTCAGAGACACGATACGCAAACCCTGTAAACAATTTTATGCCAATAAAGTCAACAATTAGATAAAACGGACAAACTCACTGAAAGACACAGATTCCCCAAACTGAGGCAGAACAATAGAAAACCTGCAATAAATGTCCAAATAAGTATTACGGGAAGGCAGATGCAAAGCGCCTACGCTGCACGACTCCATTTAGACGGAATCGCGGGCGGGGCAGGGACGGGCGGGCGGCGGCTGCGAGGCGTGAGGGCACCAGGCGGTGGCACAGCCGCATGCCCTGACGACAGGTGCCCGTGCCGGTCAGCACTGACTGACCGCACGCCTGCAACGAGTACATTTCATCGTATCTAAACTATTCCTCAAGAAAGAGAATGCGACCCTCACTCGAGCGCTCCCCCGTCAGACGGGAGGAGACGGTGACGGGGCGGGACACACGAAGGCATCCTCCCGGCGCAGGATCCGGCAGCAGGGGTGCCGCCGTGGCACTCGCTCCAGACCCGACACCACCCCCAGGGAAAGGCCTCCGGGGGCCACCCGCCATCAGCCCATCCCGCTTGCTCTCCCTTCTCACGCCCAGACACTCTCCTTCTCTTCCCAGTTTCTCGTCTTTTTCCCTCGGCAGGATGTGAGGCCAGGGCCTGGACCCTGTCCCCCCCAGTACCCTTAGCACCTAGAACAGCACCCAGCCCCTACGGGGCGCGCGGTGAGATGCATCTCGGGGACGTCCCGGGGGCGGTCACCTTCCGACGTCCTGCTGGCACCTGGCCAGCTGTGCCTTGAGCTCCACAGCCTCTTCCTGCAGCGCCTGAATCTGAAGGTCCTTGGAGACCAGGTCCTTGGACAGCCGAGCGGTCTGGGCATCCCAGCCAGACTGCAGAGCCGACGCGTCTTCACGGAGTCTGCGCAAAGGAGGGAAGCTGTGTGAACGCGGGTGTGGATCTCACTGGCTCGCTCGCTCAAGCTTTCTCGTACACAACGCCCTAAGCTCACATGCTGACACACGCGTGCGGCCCTCAAAGGGCACGCTGTACACCAAGTCTCTTCCACACCCGCGGCTTCACGTCAGGGTGGAGAGCTCCTTGCCCGGGTCAGGAAATGGTCCCACTCAAGACATACCCACCATCCTTCCCACCCACCCAGGTGTCGACCAAGCACGCAGGACATGCCGGGTCCGTGCCAGACGCGCAAGGAGAGGTGAGCCGCAGAGGCTGGCAGAGCCTGTAGTCTTGAGGTGGTGCCATGCGGCTCACCTGGGCCACGCCGCGTGCAGCCCCTCCACACGGGCACCCTCGCCACAGGTTTTCAAACTGAACAGTAAAATGAGGTTGTACAGAAACCCCCACACCACCTGGGAGAATCCCTAAACTTGGATAAATTTCCCAAAAAGAAAGACGTGAGAGAAGACACTCGGGACACTGACCAGGGAAGCGGCAGTCTTGCACAAAAGGCCGCTGCGCGTTCACCCCATTCGCGGCCCTGGCCCGCGTCCCTCCCCATCCTTCCGGGAGAAGGCACAGACCCGCACCTCCGGGGAAACCGAGGCTGACCAGAGGACATCAGGCTCTTGCGGCTGAACCGCTAACCTGCCCGGAAACAGCACAGAATGTCTGGAGTCACGGATGCTCTCAGAGGAGTGAGAAAGCCAGACAAGCAGAGTGCTCCCGGCATTACTCTTGCCACAGGAAGACCGGTTTTCTTCACATACGTTACACAAATCACTTCTAGTACAATCTGTACAAACTCACACTGGTCTCCTACCTAAGATAAGATGGCCTAACATCACGAAGGGCTGGGAAAGTTGGAAACCAGTTAAGACACCGTGCAGGTGACGGGAGAGGACTCGGCCCCGGGGCCGGGCTCTGGGGGGCGCCCCCGCTCTGGTGCTGCGTGGCGGACGGGCGATGAGTGCAGGCGTGCGCACCCCCGCGGGATCTGGGCCCCGGCCGGCCGTGCCACCCAGCACCGAGTGTCTGAGGTGATGGGGGACGTGCAGCATCTCCTCCGGCTGCACTGTCGTCCACGGTCACCGAGAAGCTGGATGGACACAGACCACCTGGGACCTGATCTGGATTTCCAAGGTGTGACCTCATCACTCACTCGTCAGCAACCTTATTCTAAGGAGCAAAGGACACCAGCCAGCAGGGAGGTCTGTCACTGAGGCTTCTTCTGACTCTCCAGGCGGGAAACAGAGCAGCCGTCCAGCCTGGAAGGCCCCGGCCCCGGCCTCGAACACCATGACGGGGGACGTGCTGTACGGTCTTCCTCTTCCTCCCCCGGACGCTGCTCCTACCGAGTCAGCGTGCGTGTCAGGCCTTCCCAACCGCAGGAGAAGTCGCCAGAACTCAGCAACCACATTTTTATCTCCTCTCGGTTTCCAGCGAACGCCCACAGTTACCTGCATACTGGCTGTGGGTACTGCGTAAAGGCTTTGCTTGTCCCCGGCCGAGGTCCTGGCTCCTGCCCCAGCGTGCCCAGCGCAGCCCAGCTCCGGGAGGCCGGCCTCTGGAGAACGTGAGGACCCGCCCTCCAGCTCCGGGACGCCCGCAGTCAAGCGCTCGGGCCGGTGCTGGTCAACACGGGGCCGCGGGCCACGCACGGCTCCCGAGCACGTGACTGGTCTGAATTGAGATGTGGCTTCAAAATTTAGCACCAAAAAAATACAAAATGTCTCAGTAATAATTTTTTTCAGGCAAAAGAGGATTAGTTTTTATACCGATTGCTTGTTAACGTCACGCAACACGACAGTATCCTGGACACGTTCGGTTAAAGAACTCCCCCGTCTCTTTGTGCCTTAACTGTGGGCCCCGGGAGGCGGCCCTGCCTGTGTGGCCTGCCGTGTCGCTCACAAAAAGTTGTGTTGTGTTTTACCACAATAACTGCATATGTCTACGCACACACAGCAATGACGCAACTAAAAGAAAAAAAAAAAAAGGGCAAAACGAGACGGAGGAAAAGGACCAGGGGGCTCCGGGGCGCCAGGCCCGCCCACTCACTTGTCCACGGCGGCGTCCTTGCTCTTCAAGGCCTCGGCCTGCCTCCACTCTGCCCTGCGGAGCTGCAGCTCCAGGCTCTCGACGTGGGCCTGCAGCTCCAGCGCCCTGGCCTCCAGCGCCCGCAGCTGCTCCGCGTGGGCGTCCTTCACAGCCGCCAGCACCGCGTCCCTCTCCCTGGCGTGGCGGTCCAGCGCCTCATGCCTGAAACACAGGCGGGTGACCTGGCCCGCGGCCTCCTCGCTCCCCCTCGCACCCCGTACCCGAGGCTGTGGTGCTCCTGCCCCCCGGCCGTGTGCGGACACCCCCCGGGGTGCACTCTGCCCGAGCGGCTCTCAGATGCCAGGCCCCTGGCCCGCCTCTGGAGCTCAGCACCCCCAGAAGACAGACCCCGGAAGCCGGAGCTCGGGCAAAGCAGCCTTACCACCGCCCTCACCGGCTGTCCCACCAGCCCCCGAAGGCAGGACGCGGCCGTCCGGACGCCTTCCCTGTGACGTGGCGGCCGGTTCTCCGTCTCGCCGGAGACGCCAAACTTACCGGAATTCCATCTCCAGAGCAGACGCCCGTCTTGACCCCACACCAAACTGGCAGGTGCCGTGTGCACATCTGACTGACCATGCTCAGCACTTTCTATGCTTTTACTCTATTTGGTTTCAGTAAAAAGTTAAAGGCTCTAGAAATAGAATTCCACGTGGCTTTGGATTCCATCAGCATCTTCCAGTGGGACGGGGAAGCCTTTCCCAATCGAGTCACATTATGTACTTTTCATTCTAATCACAGTCAAGCCTCATCTTACCCGTCTTGCGACCTGTTCGGTATTTTCTACCTTCTATCGGCAGAGCCGGGACACACACCGGCCGCCGCGCCTCCTCGTTCCTGGCAGCACGTGCCCTTCTCTCCACCAAACCACGAAAGCCCAACCGTGACGGCTGGTGACACGAACGGAGTCACTTCCCAACTGCGATGCGTGGGGGCGCCACTCTGAAGGCAAACACCGGGCTCCAGGGTGGGAGCGCCTGCCTCGTCACCGCGGCTCCGTCTGCCGCTCACGACAGCGCATCAGCACACGGCAAGTCCCCACGCACAGCATCGGTGTGAGCTCTGAGCCCCTGGGCCGACAACACGCTTTAAAACGCGCCGAGTGTGCTAGCGCGGACTTGTGCTCGTGTGCACGGCGGAAGGGCGTTTTCGAGTCCTGTAATTCTGTGTTTCCACGACACTCCTCCAAACAGAGACAAGTTCACTTACTCGAACTGAAAAAGGAAGAGACACCGCAGAGCAACCCGCCCGGCTGATGGCTCCACGGACACGGCGGGCTTGGCCGCGCAGGTGGCCTGGTGACCATTTTCCCTAAATCTGCAGGCTTCAGGTTTTAGACAGAAATGGAAAAGCGTGCAGCAAAATAAAAGCCATCTTACTGCGTAAATATCATGTTGGCAAACGTGCTCTCAAGTCACAACATCCCAGCTTCCCAGACAAAATGTCACCAAGTGGAAAGACACCTGGTGTGTGGAACAGTCACGGAGTCGGTCTTAAAAAAGCCTCTTATCTAAACTTCTGGAAACGGAGAACGTGGACGGTGCTGCTGACCGTGCTCAGACACCGTGGCCAGCACAGGCTTGGGGGCACTGCCACATGAGCGGCAGACACAGGGCACGACACCATTCCGGACGGAAGCCAGCAGGTTGATCGGGGCACGTAACTGGAAGGTGTTCAGAGCCCCGGAGACGCGGCAGAGGAGCCCCCTGCTGCCCGTGAGCGCGACAAGGCGGCCAGCCCCACACAGCTGCTCACAGCGGAAGTGGGGGCCGTCTTGCCTCGTAACAGGGCCATTCCTGAGGAGACTTTACAGGTGATGGTCACTGAATTTTATGGTGTATTATATTGTTCTGTGAAGTATGTACTAATAACTATCATAAGAACTTCATTTAGAACTCTTTCTAAACACCTAGAGCCTTGTGACTCCAGCCAATTTCATTGTTTTTAGTTTACATAATCTACCTATTGTTCTTAGAGGTGACTGAGTTCAAATTTCTGAAGTGCAAAAATTACACTATATTCAGATGAAGGTCCTCAGGCGTAAGGGCAGAAGAGAAAGGAAAGCTGTAAGGAAGGCTCCTTCACATTCACCTTCCCGCACTTTTCAATCAATGGTAGGGGATGTTTACATACATTTTAAAGAGTAACCAAACAGTTTTACTTTTCCCCCCCTTTTTAAGAGAGATTTTATTTTAAAGTAATCTCTACCCCCCAACGTGGGGCTTGGACTCACAACCCAAGAGCCGCACACTCCACAGAGGGAGCTAACCACTCCTGAACAGTTTTACCTCTATGCTGACGTTTCTGATATGCTAAAAATCAGGGGCGCCCGAGGGGCTCAGTCAGCAGAGCGTCCAACTTCTGCTCAGGTCGTGATCTCACAGTTTATGGGTTCGAGTCACCGCATCGGGCTCTGTGCTGACAGCTCAGAGCCTGGAGCTGCTTTACATTCTGCATCTCCTCCTGCCCCCTCTCTGCCCCTCCCTTACTTGTACTCTCTATCTCTCTCAAAAATAAATTTAAAAAATTTTTAATTATATTCATTTTTTAATTTTTTTATTTAAAAAAAATTTTTTTTAATTTATTTCTAGGAGAGAGAGAGAGAGACAGCGTGAGCAGGGGAGGGTCAGAGAGAGGGGGAGATACAGACTCTGAAACTGGCTCCAGGCTCTGAGCTGGCAGTCAGCACAGAGCCCGACGCGGGGCTCGAACCCACAAACCCCGAGATCATGACCTAAGCGAAAGTTGGACGCTTAACCGACTGAGCCACCCAGGCGCCCTGATTATATTCATTTTTTTAAATTATTTCATTTTGTGATTAAAAAGAGTCTGAGAGGGGCACCCAGGTGGCTCAGTCGGTTGGGCGTCCGACTTCAGCTCAGGTCACAATCTCGCGGTTCGTGGGTTCGAGCCCCACGTTGGGCTCTGTGCTGACAGCTCAGAGCCCGGAGCCTGTCTTTGGAGTCTGTGTCTCCTGACCTTCCCTTGCTCATGCTGTCTCTCTCTCTCTCTCAAAAATAAATAAGAAACATTAAAAAAAAAAAAAGAGAGAGTCTGAGAGTGCCAGATTCTTCCAAAGGCCAGTGGCCACAGCAGACTAAGGGACGGTCCTGGCACCACCAGCCTACGGGTTCACGTGAGGCCACGTTCTGCTGTGCGTGTGGCGCTCACATGCCCCCAGCAGGAGTGTGAACACGGGGCCGGGCCTCTGGCTCGTGCGTGCTGGGCCGGGGCGGGCACAGGTCGACGGTGTCTGTACGGCAGCCTGGAAGGCTCAGGTCTAACTAGGGGTGAAACTGCAGTAAACAAGCTGTAAAGCTTTTCTCCCCCGTGTGCACGAGCTGCACAAACACCACGGCCACAAGGTGGCCCCAGGTCGCCCTTCCTCCGCAGCCCCCCGCGCTCTCGCTCCCGACCAGCTTCCCGATCGTCACACGCCTGCTTTGTACACAGTCACCTGCTGCTTCTCCGGAAGAGGAAAAGGGAGGATGTCCTGTAGCAGCTGGCCGGCCGGCCACACACTGGCCTCTCAGGCTCTCTGGGGGCCCCCCAGTCAGGCCCGGGCTGCTCCCAAGGACAGGCGCTCGCCCACACCGGCCCTCCCCCGGGAGCCTGCCTTGTGCCTTCCGCGCGCCCGCCTCACCCTGCTGGCCTCACACGCCTCGGCCTGGGTGGCCGCCAAGCGCTTCCCCAGGGCTGCTGCCCCGGGGGTGCGCCGTCTACCCACCGAGCGACCCCGACACCAGCAGCGAGGGGCGCGCTGCCCACAGCGAGGTAGGAGACCAGCGGTTCAGCAGGAAGACGGTCTCCTGAGAACCCGGAGAGCGTACGACCACGACAAAAGCGAGAGACGACCTCATCGCTCAGTGAGATTTGTTTTCGCAATCTAACGTTAGCGCTGTTAACACAACTGTGAAGTTCAAAGGCTGCGAAACGCCAAAAAGCCTAAGCGCCACTGAGAACACCCCCCGAGCAGGCAGCCTACGGAAGCCGACCCGCAGCAGCGAGAGCACAGGCCAGGCGCCCGGGCTGATGGGAGCCTGTGCCAGGACCCCCCCCAGGCGGCGAACACTCACTTCCTCCTGAACACGTCCTCCTCCTTCTTCCTGGAGAGCTGCTCGGAGTGAAGTCTGCTTTCTAAGTCTTTTATCCTGAAACGGAGAAAACGTCGGCTCAGGGAAAAGCAGGGGGGCCCCGCCACCCGGCCCGAGGGGCAGGTGCGGCTCCACACCGGGCGTCCTTGGCGGCCGCCAGGTCCCTGAGCTCCTGCTCGCTGAGGTGAAGCCGGTCCCGCAGCTCCGAGTTCGCGGCCTCGGCGCTCTGCAGCGACCCCGCGGCCTGTGCCACAGCCTCCTTCAGCGCCGCAACCTCCTCGTCCCGAAATTTCACCTTCGAAGGAGAAAGAATTCAAAATGAAGCTGAAACTGGAACAAACTGAGGAAAGAGAAGAAAACCTACAATCCAAGAGGCAACAAAACTGCGAGGCTGTGCTCACACGTGAGACGCCTGCAGTGAAAGTGCAGGTGGGGAGTGCGGCCTGGGCGGGCACGCAGGGTGCGCGCGGTGGACGTGCAGGGGAGGGGTGCGGCCTGGGCGGGCACGCGGGGTGCACGCGGTGGACGCGCAGGGGAGGGGTGCGGCCTGGGCGGGCACGCAGCCCACCAGCACAGCGCTGATTCCACCCAGTTTCCTGGCTCCCCTGTGAATATTAAATACTTAATCAAACACACAGGTGGAGAGGTAAGGCCGTGGCTGCCCACACGCGCCAACTTAAAATAACATTTCAGGGCCTCGGTTTCCTCAGCCGTAACTGTGGGCGCTGGCGACGACTGCGGCGCCCAGATCAGCTGTAGGCGTGTACCAGCTGCGCCTGTGTAAGGGCCTCGCAGGGCAGGTGGAGGTGCGGCAGGCATGCAGTGTGCACGTGCCCAGTCCCACCGTGGAGCCCAGGGCGGGGACCCCTGGTGCTGCCTGCTGTCCTGTCCCAACTCTCAGAAGTTGCCAAGCAGCCTCGTGAGGGTCCCTGTGGGCTCTTCCAGGACTGGGGGCAGGGCACCCATGCAGAGGGGCCTGGCGGGTACCTAGGAGGGCACGGCTGGCACACAGGGAAGAACTGGTGTCTGTGCCAGAAGGCGAGGCTGGGCTGTGGCCTGCGTGGCACAGACACAGCCACGCACAACTGCCAGGGTTCTCAGGGCCTAACAGCACCGTGGGGAGGCTGGCGGCCTGGGGAGGCCCTCACTGAGTGCTACGGCAGGGGCTCTCTCTCTGGCACCTGCTGAATGCCCTTGCGGGTGTAACCCACCGGGTGACAGCCTTGGGCTGGGGGGAACCCCTGCTTCCTGTACCACCTCCCACTCCCTCAGGGCTGGCCCTGCGTCCATGCCAAAGGTGGGGCCCGCATGCCCCTCGGGCGCCCCGGCAGCACCTGGCTGCCCATGTTCACGAAGGGTGGCCAGCACCCCGGCCAGGGGCCCAAGCCACACATGGGCCCCAACGCTGGCCGGGCCTCCTCTGCCCTAAGTGGATAAGCTCCACCCCCCGCAGGCCCAGCTGAGCTCACGGAGCACACAGGTGGGTGGCGGGGTGTCCCTTGGGGGCCGGGGGGCAGCTTACCCTGGGTGGGGGCACACCTCCCCAGGCAGGGGCAACCAGAACCGTGGCAGCAGCCCGCCTGTCGCATCGCCCCACCACCCGGCCCAGAGGCGGCCTCCCTGCTCCCGAGCGAGTGGCACCTCGCGGCAGAGGCGGAGCTGTCACGGCCCGCGGCCACCGCACCTTGAGCTCGAGCGTCAGGACCTCGCGGCTCATGCAGTCGGCCCGCAGGCGGAACTCCTGCTCCCTCTTCCGCATCTCGGACTCAAACTCCTGCAGCAGCTCCTGTAACGGAAGGACTCGCGGTGAGAAGAGGCGGCGGCACCCGAGCAGAGACCACGGCCACCGCCAGGCGCCACGCAGGCGGGCTCGAAGCCGGCAGGCCGCGGACATCCCCCCTGGCGGCAGAGGCGCCACGCCGGCACTGGAGACATGGCCTGTCACGCCTGCATAAACCGCCTCTGCGGGCCCATGGCGTCAGTTTGCCTCGACGGGCGCGATCCGTCTACTCGTCCACACGGTGCCACCAGTGTCGGCCCGGCACCTGTTGAGCCGCTGAGCCTGTCCTGGGGGCACACAGACGGAGACCCGCTGGGGGCTTGGGACGGGGACCTCGGCGCGCTCACCCTGCCCCTGCACGGGAGCGGCGCTGCTGACCGCTTTCCGGGTGGCTCCGGCCACCTCCACGTGGCACACCCACGCCACTGTGTCCCCGCCTGCGTCCAGAGCTCTCTGCTGGCTCCTCGCCAGGATGGGCAGCCCTGTCACCCACCGCCCAACGTGGTGACCTCAGGCCCTGAGCCTGCTCTGTAAGGAGGCCACCTCCACTCTCCCAGGCTCCCCCACAGGCTGAATTGAAAACACGGCCTTGTCGTCATGAGATGCGAGCGTTCCCTGTGCAGCAGCAGAGCGCTGTGAGCCTGGTTCGGAGGCTGCTTCTGGACGTGGGGCTGCCGTGCCCCTCCCTTCCCCTCGCGCCACTCTGTCCCCTCTGCCCCCCCAGTGCTGTCCCCCCGGGCAACGTGAGCCTCGCTCTGCAGGCTCGACGCTCCGGCCCAGGGTCCGCATGCTCTCGCCAGGGCTCCGGCCTCCGCCGCTCTGCAGGCAGCCCCAGCCTGGCCCAGGCCCACGGCCCAGCAGGGCCCCCGGGGAGCAGGAGGCTGCCAACTCAGCCCCCCCCCCGCCTTCTCCAGCTCCAATCTCTTGGTTCCCACCGTTTTGAACTTGGAAGGGAACGGAGGCGACTGCAAGTGGCGCCCCCGGCCTCCGGCCAGGCCCAGAGCTGCTCCCCGGAGACTCCCCTGGAGCCTGGCATCTGCAGGCGTCTCCCCGCCCGAGCGCGCAGCCGTCTGCTGTCCAAGCCGCCGCTGGGAGGCGGGGCAGGCTCTGTGTCCAGTGTCCCCTCTGTGGGTTTCCAGATGCCTCTGAAACGCGTCCCGCTCGCTGCTCTGGAGGCCTTGTGTTCTCAAGGGCCTGCGCTGAGAAGCGACTGGCTCTTCTCAATGGCCTCGCTCTGGTTTTCCACGGTGTTTCTGGAATGCGATCACTGAACTGAACATCCGATTTATCCTCCACGTCTCTTAAATTTTCTACCAGATTTTGTCTTTTTTTTGGTCTACATTCTGAATTTCTTTCTTTAAATACACTTGTGATTGTCAGAATTCTTTCTTGACCTGTGAGTGGCCCTTCCTCCCCGCATCTTGTTCTTGGGTTCAGACGTAAAACCCATCTCTGGGGGGCACTAACCACATGAAGCCCCCAGCACGTACCCTGAGACCCTGAAAACTGCAACAGAGCATGAGGAGTGGCTGACCTGTCCCCACCCCACTCCGGACAGGCTGAAGGGCAGGGGGAGTCACAGGGTCACTGGCTGGTCAACAGACCTCTAGACTAGCCAGGACAGCCAGACGCCTGTGTGGGCACATCCAGCCTGGGCCGGATGCCTCCTGCTGGCTGCCCAGCTGCCTCCCACCTGAAGTGGGCACACGATGGTGGGCATCAGGGCACTGAGTCAGCAATCACCTCAGTTCTATACAGGGTCATTTTCTCCGTTATTCTCAGCTCCTTTGCCATGCTTCTGGCGATTCTCAAATGTCCCAGATGTGAGCACAGAACCCGCTTCAGATCCTCTGTACACCACCACCCCCACCTCCCCTCTGCGCTCTCTCTCTTTCAAAAAAAAATAAATATATATTAAAAAAAGAAATATAAGAAACTCACTGGAATGATGTCAAAATTATATCACCTGCTATTCATAAGACACTGTTAAGGAAAGGAAAAGGCCAGGTCCTAAGTGGGAGAAAATAACTGTAACATATGTATCTAAGAACTTGATTCCAGAATATATAAAGAACTCTAAAAAATCAGTAACATGATGGCAAATAATCCATCTTTTAAGAAGGGCAAAAAGGTGAACAGATACTTTACAAAAAAAGGTATATTAATGGCCAATGAACGCAAGGGAAGATGCATAAACTTGGACCGAGGACAAGAAAATTAAAACCACAACGAGACACCACGACTCGCCCCCTGAAATGGCTGACGATACGCTGTGCTGAGAAGGGCGTGGAGTGGCTGAAATTCTAATCTACTGGCGCTAGCAGGAACATAAAATGGCACAAATGTCCTGGAAAAAAGGTCGGTGATTTCTTACAAAGTTAAATACGCCCTTAGCACACAACACAACCCAGAAACTCTACTCCCAAGTTATTTACCCAAATAAATGGAAGCCTGCCAAGAATGTCCACAGCAACTTTATCCTTAATGGCCTCAAACTGGAAATGACGCACTGTCTGAAATGTCCACCCACAGGGAAGAGCCGTGCAGCATAGCTACACGGCACAGTCCCACCCGGAGCGAACAGAGCCTACTCCTGAGCGTGCAGCACAGCGTGCACGGGGCTCAGAAGCACCCCGCTGCATGGAGGTAACCGGACAATAGAGAGCACAAGGCGCAGACTCCATGTGTGTGAGGGGGGGCCTCTCCCAACAACCAGAGTCCCCGTAACGGCAGGATGCAGACCTGTGGTCACTGGGGCTGGAGCCATTCACTGACCGCCAGGGCGCGTCTCAGCCCTTACACGGGTGTGTGCGCCGTGTGTAAGTCACCGAGCCGACTGGGGCACCTGCGTGGACAGGGGTCCCAAGGTCAGCTCTGCACCACAGGCACCAGGGTCCACACCCACTGCCTTCCTGCTCCTCAGCTGGGCAGCTCAACACTGTTAAAGAGAAGCGCACCAAGCTCCTGCCCACTGGCTCCTCCGTCTGCACACATGGGGGTGCCTGCCCCGTACATGGACCTGCGGCCGACGCCAGGCCAGCCCCGTACACGGACCTGCGGCCGACGCCAGGCCAGCCCCGTACACGGACCTACGGCCGACGCCAGGCCAGCCCCGTACACGGACCTACGGCCGACGCCAGGCCAGCCCCGTACACAGGCCTGCGGCCGATGCCAGGCTGCCCTGACCACACGTGCCCAGAGCTCCCCACACTGCGTTCCCAACAGCCCCTCCCTGCGGGCTGCTGCTTCTCCAGCCGAGATCCTCCCTCCATTGCTCAGCTCTCTCCATTTTTAGTCTCTTAGTGTCCATTCCCAATGGTCTCAGGAAAAGAGAGCCCCACAGGGTCGACTTGGCCATGGACTAGAGGTGTGGACATGCTCGGTCCTCAGGAGAATGGGGGCACAGAAGCTACATGGGGGAGGGGCAGACTGGGCTGATGCAGAACACTGGAGTTCGTCTTTGTCTCTCCTGTCCTGAAACCTCACAGTGCCCCCGACCCAGCCCTGTGGTCAGAGGAGAGCAGAGGTGACATCGGGCCCGTGAAGCCCATCCCCACGGAGGAGCACACAGGCAACACGGCATAGCAAGCAGGACCCCAAGCGATCCCTGCTCTTGAAGAGACCTGGACAGACTCGGCTATGCAGAGGAGGGCCTGGGAGGAGGCTGAAGCCCGCCCGGTGGTGTGGCCACACCTGCCACCTCCCTGGGACGCCCTCCCCCGGGGAGGCGGGCGGGAGCCGCACACCTTCCCGGTGACACACGTACGCTGGATCCCTGGATCTCGGAGGGTCGAGTGGGGGGCTCGGAGGCACTCGCAGAAGTACAACGGAGAGCATACGTTTCACTCTTTTTATCCTTTGAAAAGCAAAATGAGGTATAAGAAGTAACGTGAGATTCCTTAAACTACAGAACAGAGAATTAAGAAAGGAAGAAGATACGGAGAGGAAAACCTTTCATTTAGGAAAGGAAAGAAAATCCTCAAGTACAGATAGAAGAGGGTCAGATTCTAGCTCTTCTAATATGTGAACGTCCACAGGAAAGACTCATCTAGTCTCTTGAGTTCAATTCACCTGACTGACTACCTGGACGCCTGTGTATGGGGAGGGCATGGGAAGGTGGGCACCGTGAGTGAAGACGTAGACAATGAGGGAAAACCCTGCCCCAAACAGAATAGGTGTATTTCCCAATATGCTAATCCACCCACCACTGGGCACACTGAAAGAATAACAATAGTTTCATTACGTTCTTATTTAATTTACAGTATATTTAAATAATTTCATTGTGAATTTGTATTTTCTACAATAATTTAGTTAAGCATAATTAAATTGTATTTCGTTATCATAAAAAAAAGAAGTAACGAGATTCTCTCTTACTGGGAGCAGAATACAAAAGTCATTTGGGGTTCTCTCCTAACATGTTACACAACCACGAAGAATTTGGTCTCTGCTCTAAGTTCTGCAGGTGCGGGGGGCTGGGTCGCGCAGCGGAGCGCCGGCCGGGGGCGGGGGGCTGGGTCGCGCAGCGCAGCGCCGGCCACCCTCCTGCTGGTGCCCTCACAGGCCCTGCCCTCCCACCTCCCACTGAAGGCTCGGCCCGGGGTCCCTGGTCTACAACTGCTCTTTGGCAACGCCCCAGGCTGCCAGCTCTCGCCCCGTGGCCTCCCAGTGCTAACCTCCAGAGTGCAAAGTCCCCTCCTGCCCGACACGCTGGCCTGGAAGTGCGGGAGCCGCCTCCCACGTGACCTGCCATCATCCGCGCTCTACCCAGGGCCGCTGCCCGTGAGCCCTACACGGCCACCGGCACGTCAGCCCCCCGTGACCCTGAAGGGCTGCCCAGGGCCCCCAAGTGCAGCCTCCAGACCCCTTACCGCTGGCAGACTTCTGCTCACAGGCCCTCTTCCTGACCTCATGTTTAAAGAGGCCAGCCCCCGCAGCCTGCCTCACTGTGTCATGCAGGTGACTCCCTTGGGACCTCCCAGCAGGGACTGTACCATTCAGGTGTCCGTTTTGCCCCATGGAGGGCCAGATCACTCACCCAGCAGGCAGGTCCAGGTACTCACACCCTAACTCCAGACCTTGGAAGACACCTAGCACGTGGCTCGTGTTTAAAAAAATATATATAAGTTTTGGGGCGCCTGGGTGGCTCGGTTGGTTAAGCGTCTGACTTGGGCTCAGGTCATGATCTCACGGTCCGTGGGTTCGAGCCCCACATCGGGCTCTGTGCTGGCAGCTCAGAGCCTGGAGCCTGTTTCCAATTCTGTGTCTCCCTCTCTCTCAAAAATAAAGAAACACTAAGAAAATTAAAACAAGGTTTTTTTTGTTAAATGAATGAATAAATCATTCCTACTCTGGTGGCTTCTAGTACTGTGATGCTATAACCAACACAGGAAAAAAAAGCTTCCCTTCAGCCCACAGCCTACAACTTGCAGGTATAATAAGAGTCAAACAGAGCCACTCAGTTCTCTTTATCTTGTATTTCCTTTTTCAGGAGAAAAACCATTATCACCATTGAATCAATTCGACCTCTGACAAATCAACAATGGACACAAAGACCCTCAGAAACAAGAAGTGGGAAACCATGAAGCCAAGAGCACGTAAGAGCCCAGTCAGTCACTGAAAGAGTAAGATGTGGGCAGCAGAGTGGGGTTCAACCAAAGGCACCCTGTTCCCCGCAAGCCACATTGGCTCAGACTGTTCCAGAACCACGCTGGACAAAGGCTACCAAAGCGGCCACCCTGGGTGGAACGCCAAAGCTGAGGAGTTGAAACATCATTTCTTTCCTTCCAGAAGTAGGGCCGGCAGGAGAGCCTGCCTGCCTGGGTCGCAGCAGCCGCCCGGCCCGGGGTCATCACTGCCTCCGAATGCGGCTGAGTGCCTGCTAACAGGGACGGCCCCACGGCCGCCCAGGACCCTTCAGGAAGTCCTCTGGATGTGACCCCAGTGCCAGGGGACGTACCTCAGGAAACCCCCTCACCTCCTGGCTAAGTCCCAACTGCGCTTTCCTTCGTCCCGCTGCTCAACCCCTGTTTTGTGCCCTTACAACTTGAGCTGTTTCCAAAATCAAACCTGCTCATAATGGACACAGTTCTTTGGTTCTAGAAAATTCCAAAAGAAGTCCTCTGCAGGAGATTTCAAAAGCTCTTTCTCCTTAGTTCAGAATGACAGATCTCATTTTGCCAGTCTCTGGAATTTCCAGGTGCGTGTGGATTCCCCATACATACGCCTATTAAATTTGCTTTTCTCCTCTTAACCTGTCTCATAAGCAGAAGGACCCTTGAGGGGACAGGAGTTCTGCCCCCGCCAGCGGCCGTCCCAGGGCAGGAGAAGAGCAGCTAAGGGTTTACACCCTGGAGGCGTCCTGGACTCCGGTCCATCTGTGCCGGGCATCAAGGGGACCTTGGGCAGGTTGCCCAACGCTTCGCAGCTGCCGCCCACCTGTGAAGTTCTGATCAAAACCGCGTGCCTCTGCTGTGAGCAGCACAAGGAGCTTCGTGGAGCCGTTTCCATAAACGCAGCTGCTGCCGTGAGGACGTCAGGTCAGCACACACTCGGGAGACCAGGGCGCCTGTCACCCCGGCACCTGCGTCCACACGGCACAAGCGAGACCGTCCTCTTTGGCCAAGCCCAGCGCAGCTGCGTCCGCCGGAAGTGCAGGCCGAGTTTCAGTGTCGCGGAGTTTAGTGTGGTGACAGGTTTAGTATGACCCGCCGGCTGACGCGCTGCGTGGAAACTTAGGACTCATCACCTGCGGTTTCCCCCAAACACACACGGTTACCACAATGTGAGTTCCCAGCTCTTTTCTACAGCGAGTAACTCAAGTGTTAACTTTTCAATATTTTTTCTAACATGAGTAAGGGGACGACGTTTATCCCCTTGTGAGGAGAGACACTGGGGGTTCTACCGGCGAGGGCCAGACGCCCGCCGCGCCCTCCGGCCCACCCGGCACGGAGACCTGCCCCAGGAGTTCACCGTGGAGCCCACGGATGCCACACGGGCAACACGAAGGCCACAACAAACCCGCAGCGATGTGGTTTCCGGGTGGGCGGGCCGGGGCCCGGCGCCCTACCTGCCTCTGAAGGGCAAGTTCGCCGTCCAGCTCCTCGAGCTTCCTCTCCAGCCTCCACTTCAGGTGTTCATACTGTTCCCGCCGCTGCTCCATCTCCCCGTTCTTGTCACTATGCAAACAAGGCAGTGTCAACACACGCACGGACACAAGAGGGCCCGGGCCGCACTGCGAGCGTGACTGCCTGCACAGGCAGCCTGGGACGGGGTCCGGAGGCGCACAGCACGATGCCGAAAGCGTCCAGGACACAAGCCAAAGTCGCTGGTCACACCGAGGACCAGGAAGGGAAGGAGCAGTCAGCAGGAGCAGACGCCAAGGTGACGCAGACGTCCGAGTCTCTCATAAGGGCTGTGAAGCGGCCGTTATTTAAAATGCTTCAACAAGCAGCTTAGTTCAGCCTTAGAAAAACTTAGGAAGAATCCAACAGGAATTGAGAACTAAGAGGCACCATAACCGACAGTTCACCGGGCGGCTCAACGGCCGAGTGAACAGAACATGATAGAGACAAGAATCTATGAACTTGAAACCAAAACAACAGAAATTGCCCCATCAAATAACCGAGAGACACAGGAGAAAATGAGCAGAGCCCAGGGAACGAGGGACAGCCACAAAGGAGGAGTGGTGGTGCCACTGAGTCCCAGATAGAGGAAGAGAGGAGGGCCGAAATGTACTGACAGAAGCCATGGCAGAAAATTTCCCAGATTTGGCAAAAAGAAAAAAAAAAAAAAAGGAACAGACAAATAAATGACCTGAGGAGACACTTTAAAATGTAGAGCACTTGGGGCACCTGGGTGGTGCAGTCGGTTAAGCGACTGACTCTTGCTTTCTGCTGAGGTCACGATCTCACGTTTCGTGGGACCAAGCCCCACATCGGGCTCTGCGCTGACAGTGGGGAACCTGCTTGGGGGGTTCTCTGTCTCTCCCTCTTTCTCTGCCCCTCCCATGTTTCTCTCTTGCAAATTAAGTAAATAAACATAAAAAATAATAATAAAATGTAGAAGACTATAAGTAAGGATGCTTTAAATCCTCTGAAAAACAGTTACAAGAAAAAATCAGTACGCCCACGGACGGCAAGCTGGCCCACGTGACACCATGTTAAAAGCACCTGCCACATGGGGCGCCTGGGGGGCTTAGTCGGTTAAGCGTCTGACTTTCACTTAGGTCATGATCTCGCGGTTCGTGGGTTCGAGCCCCGTGTCGGGCTCTGTGCTGACTGCCAGCTCAGAGCCTGGAGCCTGTTCAGTCTGTGTCTCCCTCTCTCTCTGACCCTCCCCTGCTCACGCTGTCTCTCTCTCTCTCCTGGAAATAAATTTAAAAAAATTAAAAAAATAATAAATAAATAAAATAAAAGCACCTGCCACGGACCCTACAGGAACATCACGGTGTGATTGTTAACCGTGAAGTGCCAATGTCCGTCCTGCGGGTGCGGTTATGGCGCCCCTTCGCTGCGGGGGTGCTGGCCGTGGCTGAACTCTGCAAGCCTGTCCTCTGGGCCCCGGTGAGGCGGCGCGGGGTGTGATCGTCACGCACCACACCGCCTGCACAAATGGCGGGCGCGCTCACACGCTGCATGGCGCTGGGAGGTCTGCAAAGGGCACTCTCACGATCCGGGAAGCTGTGCCCATGTGTGGTCGTGGGAGATGCTGGGCTGCGGGCCGGTGGCTTATGAGCTCCCCTCAGTCCCAACCTGCCACGGAAGCAGACCGAACGGGCCCAGAAGCCACAAAGAGGGCCAGGGAGCCATCTAAAGAGATGTGGCAGGGCTCGGTGCATGCCACAAAGAGAAGCTGCCCAGATGGCTGGGAAAGCGCCACGGCAGGTTGTCACAGCTCGTGCAGGACGCCACCGTGCGGGCATGAAAGTGAGCTCTCCTGGAGGGAGCACAGCAGACGGCTCGGGCGGCTTTTCCTTTCCACAACCACCTTTGCCTCACCCGTGCGAGTTATGCTCCCCTTACTGTCATAAGTTTTAACAAGTACTCTAAGTACATGTGTGACAGCACAAGAAGCTAGTCAGGGGCTGCCTGGGGGGCTCAGTCGCATCGTTATGCATTCGACGTCAGCTCGGGTCACGATCTCAGGGTTCATGGGTGCAAGCCCTGTGTCAGGCTCCGCAACGACCACACAGTGCCTGGAGCTGCCCGGGGTTCTGTCTCCTTCTCTCTGCCCCACCCCCACTCGCAAACACGTGCGCATTCTGTCTCTCAAGATAAACAGAATTTAAAAACACAAACCACTATTCAGAACCCCATGAAGTGACAAGAGACCTGCAAGATGCTGCCCACCACTCTACACACCGTGCGCACACACACACTCATGCACACGCGCACGTGCACACACACGCAACACCCTCCCGCGCGTGCGCACGTGCATTCACACGCAACACCCTCCCGCGCGTGCGCACGTGCATTCACACGCAACACCCTCCCCCGCGCGCGCACCCCACACTCACACGCGCGCGCACGTGCATTCACACGCAACACCCTCCCCCGCGCGCGCACCCCACACTCACACGCGCGCGCACGTGCATTCACACGCAACACCCTCCCGCGCGCGCACACCAGGAAGACGTACCCCGAGTGTTAACGTGACGTCACGCACAGACACCCTGAAATCGGGAGGGACAGCAGAGTTTTAAATGAAGCCTGCCGTGTCTGTCTTCCCGGGGGGAGCGGGGAGCAGCCGTGACCAGGGCGGGGGCCGGCCGCCGGGCCCTCTGACCCGGGCTGGGCTCCCGGTCAGCCTGCCGCAAGCGAGCTCAGGGAGCGTGGGGACTGGGGCCATCAGGAACGGGGGCAGCTTGTACTGGAAGGACACAGACGTGTGAGCGGAGCAGAAGGGTGCGCGTCTCCGCGGCGCCGCCTCACCTGCGCGCGCGCTCCAGCGCCAGCCGCCGCTCCTCCCGCTCCAGCCGCCGCCGCCGCCGCAGGTCCTCCAGCCGCAGGGCCGCGCCCGCCAGCGCCCGCCGCAGCCGGGCCGCCTCCACCCGCAGCTCGCTCAGCTCCGCCTGGCGCGCCTCCTCGAGGCCCCGCGCGCGGGCGAACGCGGCGTCGTAGCGCTCCAGCTCGCGGTCGCGCTCGGCCAGCAGCCGCAGGTTGTAGACGAAGTCCTCCCGCAGCGCCCTCCACTCCTCCTCCCTGCGCGCCGGCAGCGGGCCCAGGGCCTGCTCCGCGGGCGGCGGCATCGGGGCGGCCGCGGCGGGGGCGGGGGGCGCGGCCGCAGATCCCCGCGTGGGGCACGGCTGTGGCGGGGGGGGGGGGCGGCGGCTGCGCTCTGGGCCGCTGAGCAGCTGTGGGGTCCCGCGTACCTCCGGGCGCTTCCTGAAGGGCCGCGGCCCGGGAGGGCCCTTTGTGCCCAGCCCCCGCCCCGCGGCAGAGGGCGCAGGCCGGTCCATCCAGGGTCACAGAGGAAGGAAGACGGGACACCGTCTGCTCCCCGACAAGGGCCAGGTCCTGCGAGCAGGGCGCACGAGGAGCTCCCCCACCCCGCAGCCGGGGGAACGAGGCAGCTGAGGAGCTGGGCGAGGCCTGCGGTCCACGCGCCGCCGCCCGGCACCCGATGCCCCGCTGCGGAGCGCGGCCGAGGCGGCTCTCAGGAGCAGCTTCCTTTGCGCGTTTCTCTCCAATCCGTCACAGTCTGGCACTTTTCTAAAACACGATAAAAAATAAAGCACTAGAGGAAAACAAGATAAAGAACCAAAGACATGTAATACACGAGCCCAATTCTTTAACACTGAGATTCAACAGCATAAAACGCCTTCGTCAAACTGCCCTAAGTGTCTAAAATCCTCTCGCTCCTACGTGTCTGCCAAGCACGGGCCGCGGGGGTGCGTGGTGGGTGCTGTCAAGGGCCGCGAGCGCCCGTCACCCGGCAGAGAAGGGGTGGATCCCGTAAAAACACGTGGTGTCGGGCCTTGACCCAGCCAACAGGCCTGAGGCCCCGCAGCCAGCACAGGAGGTAGGCAGGCTGGGCCCGAGGGCCCCTGTCACCCTGGGGGCAGACAGCACCCCTTCTCCGACAAGAGCTTTCCAGAAGGGCCAGGGGCATTCAAGGCAGGCATCCAGAAGTGACATTTGAGTACCGCTGTCATCCCAAAGAATCTAAAATGGGGGCGCCTGGGTGGCTCAGTCGGCCTGGGGGAGAGGGACGGTGGACGGGACCTAAGTGGCCTGAGAGCACACTCGGAAAGGGGGGGTCGCAGAGGTTACAGTGCAGCTGCGCCTGAAGTGGTCCCCACAGCAGCAACACCGGTCCACCCTGGTCAGCATACAGGGAACGCCGACAAAACCTCAGAAACATGAACGAGAGTACTTACGGGGCTATTTACTGTTTTTTGTTTTCTTTAGGGCAACTCTAGAATTCTTAAGCAAGTGACCACTGTCCGGTCAGCAAAACTAAAATCAGCAGTACTACTTTTTGGGGACACAAAATTCACTTCACTCCTAAAGTTACTAATAACAAAAACCACCAACAAAAAATTACCCATATAACCAAATCTGTTATTATAACATTTTGGTAATAGAATGAAAAAAAAAACAAACAATAAATTCAAAAGCATTGGTAGCACACTAACCGGGGGCAAGCCTTCCACCACCACACGGGTCTCGGGCCCAATGAGTGAAGTTTGATAGTAATTCTGGCTGAAGGAAGGAAGGAAGGAAGGAGAGACAGAGAGAGAGAGAGAGAGAGAGAGAGATCGCCGAAATGGTCCTGGCTGGTACTGGCAAATCCCAAACGAGGGTCGGGGCCCCAGGCACAACGCGCCTCTCACAGGAAAGGCGCGCGGCCCACGTCCGCTCTGAGCTGGGAGCAGCGCTGGGGAGACCGCAGGGAAAAGAGGAAACCGCCGCAGGAACCAGGAGGGTGAGGCAGCCGAGGCCACGCAATCGGCGCGTCTCAGACGGAGAGCAAAGCACCAGCGGATCGGACGGGGCAGCGCGCCCACCCCCGGGTCGGGCAGCGGGCAGTTCCTCAGGTGACGCCAGTGTCTCCTCGGCACTGGCACCAGACCCGAATGAAGCCCTTAGGAAGGTCTTCCTGTCAGAGCAGTGAGTGGTGCAGGTCGGCGCTCCTCCCGTAGAGGGCGGTGGGTGTGGGGGGGGCGGTGGGTGTGTGGGGGGGG